ATCCATCTTGCAACTTAAATGAATTCAACTTATTGGTTCTCAAGACACGAATGGAGTGTGGCTGCTTATAATTGTGTTTTTCTTCTAATTAATGGGCATTTGTGTCGTTCTATTGATTTTTCCTATATTTTGATTTATTTTTAACTCAGCAACCTTAAGCATTGGACTCACTGACGTGCATAAGAAAGAAATGTTGATTACGTGACAAAGAACGATTTAAATGACATGGATCATATGATATCTAGTTGATGAAAGTGTCCCTTGTGATGTTTTGTCAATTCAACCGTTCATTTCTATAAAACGTCTCTTGTGACGTTCTAATTATTTTTCTTATCTTTTGCTTCTTTTCAAATGCAAATAGCTCAAGCATTTGAGCCCCTAACCCAAGGAAGACAGTATGGTTGATCATGTGATAAGAACGACTGAATTAACATAGATTATATGATATCGAGTTGGTGAAATCATAAGTCAATGTATTGATTCGGTAGAAAATATAATTGATGAGCACATCTCTCATCATTTGTAAACGGAAGTCTATCTAGTAACTTAAATGAGTTCAACTTTTTGATTCACGAGGCATGGATAGGTCGTGACTGCTTATATTTGTGTTTTTAAATAGAACGACACAATTATCTTTTAACAACCCTTGTATTGTTTTGTTGATTTCTCCAATATTTTTCTTTTTTTCCAAATCCATGACCTCACATATTGGATTTCCTAGCTTAAGAAAGTTAGAAGGTTGATCACAAGACAAAAAAATTTGAATTGACATAAATTATACGACATCGAATTGGTGAAATCACAAGTCTTTGTATTGATTTATTAGAAAATATAATCAATGAGCACATCTCTCAACTTATGTAAATGAAATGTCCATCTTGCAACTTAAAATAGTTCAACTTATTAGTATTCGGGACATGGATGAGTCGTGACTACTTTTACTCGTGTTTATAGAAAGAACGGTAAAAGTGTCGTTTAATGGTCCTTGTGCCGTTTTGTTAATTTATCTAATATTTTACTTCTTTGCCAAATTCACAACCTCAGACATTGGATCTCCTGACTTAAGAAAGTTAGAAAGGTTGATTACGAGACAAAGAACGTTTGAATTGATATAGATTATATAGCATTGAGTTGGTGAAATCACAAATTGTTGTATTGATTCGTCAGAAAATTTAATCAATGAGCACATCTCTCAACTTATGTAAATGGAATTTCCATCTTGCAATGCGGGACATGGAGGACTCATGACTGCTTTTACTCGTGTTTATAGACAGAAAAATACAAGTGTCATTTAACAATCCTTGCGCCGTTCTGTTAATTTTTCCAATATTTTACTTCTTTTCCAATTCCACAACCTCAAACATTGAATTCCTTAACTTAAAAAGGTCAGAAATGTTGATCACGTGACAAAGAATAGTTGCAAAGACATAGACTATACGATATCGAGTTGGTGAAATCACAAGTCATTGTATTAATTCGTTAGAAAATATAATTAAGGAGCACATCTCTCAACTTTTGTAAATGACATGTCCATCTTGTAATTAAAATAAGTTCAACTTATTGGTTTTCAAGGCATGGATGGGTCGTGGCTGCATATACTCGTGGTTATGGACAGAATGATAAAAGTGTCGATTAACGACTCTTGTGCCGTTCTGTTGACTTCTCAAATATCCTGCTTCTTTTCGAGCACAATGACCTCAAATATTAGATCCCCTAACTTAAGAAAGTCGGAAAGGTTGATCACCTAAGAAAGAACAATTGAATTGATATATGTTATACGATATCGAGTTGGTGAAATGACAAGTCATTGTATTGATTCATTAGAAAATATAATTAATGAGCACATCTCTCAATTTTTGTAAATTGTATGTCTATCTTGCAGCTAAAATGAATTTTGGGGCATGCATGAGGTCATGGCTATTTATACTTGTATTTATAGACAGAACGACACAAATGTCATTTTCTTTACAATAACAGCACCAATGTCGTTCTCATGAAGGAAATATATTTCAATAACGGTTTTTGTGTTGTTCTTTTAGAACTTTTTATCTCAGTAACGGTACAAGTGTCGTTCTCAATGACTTTTTCATCAACTAAGCTGCACTTGTTCCGTTCTTTTAGAACGTTTCATCTCAATAACATCACAAGTATCGTTCTCAATGACCTTTCATCCTTAAGCATTAAATCCGTAAATTACGCAAGAAAAATAAATCACATGATAGAGAACGATTGAATGATGTAAATTATTTGATATAAAGTTGTTGAAAGTACAAGTGATTCCATTATTTTCAACAAAATAAAAGTAATGAACATATCGTTCAATTTTCTTAAATGTCATGTCCACTCTTTTTTTCAAAAAGTGAATTTTGTAATAGTGTTATGATAGAGGATGTGTGGTTAAAAAATAAGAATTTTTTTTGAGTTTTGGTGTAATATTATTTTATTGAATAACTTGTGATTAAAATATGATCAAATTACTGTTCAATAATGCATTTTGATGAAAAAATGGGGATCAAACAAGGACTATATGTGTAAACACCAATATAAGTAGCCACGTCTTAACTGTGCCCCGATAACCAATAGTGGAACTCATTTACGTTATTTATGACATTGTCAAACTTTCTATGTAACACTAGTCGATGTCACGTGTGTTGCACGATTATTGTATTTAATATGTCTTTATTAGCGTGATGTAGAAATTTTAGTTTTTTTGTCATAATCCTAACATATTTTTGAAGTTTGAATTAAATCTTTTGGCATGAATTTTCTCAGGCAATTAGTAAAAATTAGATTTGAAATCGTGGGAATATAAGTAAAAGATAATTGATAATTTTATGGAAGTCCTGCACGCAGTCGTATGGAGTCCACACCAATTCCGTGCGAGGAAGTCCCTGCACCGACTGTGTGGGACACCGACTGTGTGGGGACTCCGCACCAATTCTGTGTGGAGTCCCCGCACAGTGCGGGGACTCCTTATCTTTTATTTTATTTTTTATAAATAAAAGAAAACTTTACTAGAATAAAAGTTTGAGAAGGGGAGAAAAATACCATATTAGCTCGAGGTAAAACAGTAAATTTCAATGCTTTACGTAGAGACACGTGCAAGAAAAGAATAAATTAACCACTACATGTTAGATCACAGATCAGTTAACAAAATTTACAGATTTGGTCAGCTCAGGCTATGAAAAATTTTGTTAAAACTACACCTTAGAGAAATTTATAATAGAAAAATAAGAGAAAAAATACATACGGCATTTAAAATAGATACTATATGCAGAGTTCCCTAGTTGACTCTAAAAAAATATTAAAATTCAAGACTTCTTTTCTGCAGCACATATCAAAAGTCTATTCTCGGTATCATCGGAACAATCATCAACAAACAAAACCTATACATCCAAAATTAATGAAATGACGAAAACACAAACATTTAACACATAAATTTAAGGATTAAGATAAGATAAGCCCATACCTTCAAAATTATTCAGTGTTAAAATTCAAAAAGTCCCCGCACAGTTTGTGCGGCACTCCGCACCAATATTGCTACAAGAAGCCATACTTCACGATTTCTGCCAAGATTGTTAATGCATGAAATACACAAGAATTATAAATGAATTAACAAGCTAATAAGCATTTTAATTTGCATTAAACCAAGAATATACCTCTCTTTCACACAAAAATCCAAAATTATGAATCGAATAAACAAAATTATAATTATCAGATAAAATCGAGGATATACCGCTCTATTCACTTGAGAAAAATTGCACGAAGAAATTAATCACAGAAAAAACGAGAGAAGAATTGAAGAAGAAGTGAGAGAAGGAAATGATGATGATGATGATGAAAGCTTGTATTTGGGTTTGCGTGGAGAAATGGCGTCACCGTCCTTTTGAGTAGGAAAAAAGGGGTATGACTGATATCTACAGTGAAATCACTGTTTAGCTACAGTAGAAGTCCAAACACTATTGCAACTACAGTGAATTTTATTCACCTTTCTATAAGTAGTTAGATACATCAGGGAGTTCATTATTAAATGTTATTTTGTTGAAAAAATCGAATATAGGTGAAACTTTCGGAACGATACAAGTGTAGTTACTGGACATAAAAACGACACTTGTGTTGTTATGTCTATAAATATGAGTATAAGCAGTTATAGCCCGTTCGTTCTCCAACAATAATAAGTGAAACTTATTTATGTTGTAATATGTACATGACACGTACAAAAGTTGATGGATATATTCTTTAAATTAATGGACACATATGAGTGTGATGACTTATGCTTTTACCATCTCAATAATATAAAATATGTAATTTCAATCGTTTTTTTGTAACTAGTCAATCTTTTTTGTGTTATATACGTTAGCGAATCCATTATTAGAGGTCATTTCATTGAAAAAATCAAACTACAGCAAATAATGATTATAGTGTCATTTTACTTTATAGATAACGATTGGAGTGGTGTTCTATATTTTGTATAGCAGTTGGAGTGCTATTACATCCAATAGTTGCAGATAACACAAAAAGCACACAAAATACGAAAACAATATCAACTAAATATTATTTAATATAAAAATACAATACAGATGTGATTTTTAAGAGTATCTTTCTTCAAATGTAAATGTGATTTTTCAATATAAATGATATGCTAACCAAACCCTTATTCAAATATTTGAAAGATACCCAAAATAAGTGAAGAAGATAATAAATAATATAATTTTAGGGTAGCAAAAATGGTGATTGAAGAGAAGAAAGTAGTTGATTGTAATTTTGAGAACCTAAAATTGAAAAAGATGAAAAGGGAAAGAAGACGCTATTTAAAAAAATGGAAATTAGGGTTTTAAGATGAATTTGAAGGAGAAATGACATGATGAAATGAGAAAACCTAAAGAAGAATTTTACCATTTTCCCGATTAAAATATTTTGCATTTTTTCTATTTGTATTTATTATTGGTCAAAGGCTGTTTAATTAAATACATTGTCTAGGCTAAATGACCAAATTTCCAAATAATACAATTCAACTGCACTATCTTCGTTCTCATTTCGAGGAAAAGGTGCAGAAGAAAATGGAAATTACAAATGGATCCGAATCTTGCCATTAACGTCGTTACGATATAACTTTACTCACAACTTTGTACGTCCTGGAAATGTAGCATTGTAGTCATGTGTAGGTGTAGCCTTGTGCACATTTGACTCATTTGGTAATATTCACTTATCAAATGCAGACACGGTTTTTGTGGGTTCCACTACTGTTTTTTATAGCCCGACGAACCATTTTGCAGTTGCATAACTGAAAATTATTGTTTCTTCAGTTACCTACTCAAGATTTGGTGGGTCGGTTAATTGGGGAAATGCGGCGTAATCTACAGATGCGGGACTGCAATAATGGTGAATCAGAAGGGGTTAACAGTCTAGATTCTGAGCATCTACTTATGGCTTTAAGAAAGTGAGTGAATGGATATTTCATTTGATTTCCTCGTGTACCTGTACTCGAGTTGTATGCATTTTGTGGCTCAATTTGGAAAAGTAAGTTAATAACTGATATGGGTTCTGCTTAGCTGCTTTGGATTGTTGTTGAATTTGCTTAATGTCTGGTATTTTTGTTGATTGTTTCTTGTTCTTTATGGAAAAATTCCCTTGTATTTATCCATTTCGTGCCTAAATTTGGAAAAATAAGTCTAAAGAACTGGGTCTGCTTAGTTGCTTTGGGTTGTTATTGAATTTGCTTCATGTTTGGTATTTATGTTGATTGTTTCTTGTTCTAAATGGCAATTTTCCTTGAGGTTGTTTCTCCGATCAAATTTTGGACGAAGTCTTTTTTTCGTTTTCCCTTCCTTCTTTTTTTTTGCTTTTAGGATCGTGATCCCTATTGTGGAGGATTGTATTTCGAAAGTGGGGATCCATTCTGTTCAGCAAGTTATAGGACCTATTATGGAAGATTCATTTCAAAAGGTGAGTGCCAAAAATACATCTTCTGATGATATCTCTGGCATGTTGGGTAGGGCTGAGGAAAGGCAAGTTCGGCTGTATTTTAGGCCTGTGTGGGAGTTGTGGTTGGGGTACCGGTTATGAGCATTTTTTAAAGTGTTGGTTTTGAGCATTTATAAATTATGATCGTACCAATTTGAAGTGGTTTTAGCAGCAGTTTTTTAAATCAGTTCAATCCATGCCTGAGAGTTTATTAACCATTAGTTCTATAAGTTTTTGAAAAGATTGAAATTATATACGTCTCTAAGTGAATTGTTAGTTTAAGTTTCTTGTGTGATTTTTTTTTTTTTTTTTGACTAATAAGTGATATTTAAATTTATTTATTTTTACTTATAAATAGACTTTGCAATTATAATTTAATTTTATACTTTTAAATAATTTTTATACATAAGTAGATTTTTTACTTATAAGTGTAACTTTTTATATTTTATAAGTATTTTTTGTCTTATTAGTAGTATTTTTACTTTATACATTAATTTTTATAGTATTTTTACTTTATACATTAATTTTACATTAATTTGATTTTTTTATCTTATACGTAACATTTTACATATAAGTAGTTTTTAACTACAATGTTATTTTTTTGCTTACAAAATAATTCTTTGAATAATGTATTTTTATTTATAAAGTAGTTCTAGACAAATATATTGGTTGAAAATAATCATTTTATAAAGGGTAAAATTAGAAGAGAATATGAGAAATGTTCAAAAATCACCAATTTGGTGGGTTAATAGAATTGGTCAAAATTACGCTACATTGATTTTGGGTGGTTTTTAAACCATTCAAAATTGGTGCCGCAAAAAAACTTGATTACACCGATTTTTCCAACGCCTCGTAAACTATATCATCCAAAACCGATCAAAATCGGTGAAAAAAACTCCCAAGTAGGTCCTTAAAGTTCCACCTACTTTCAAAAAAGTAACTTTTAAGCATAATCAAACGTGTTAGAATAAACTTTTTTAACAAGGCTAAGTTAGACATTTTGTAGTTGGACTCCTTTTCGCTTTGGCTATAGAACAAAGACGTGTTTAAAATATTCGCCATTTTGTTTTCATAACCAAACACTTTCGGCAATTTTTGGTGCTTTTAGGCTTAGCTAAACATGCTAATATTTTGGTGGTGTTAGGAGAAAAGTGGTTAAATTGTAGAGTATCATTATCATGCAAGTGTTTATTCTTCTAAAAATAATTTAACATATATTTGTTCATTCACCAGTTCTTTCTGTTTTAATAGTTTTCTTGTCCACAGAAATATTTATGAATTTTCCATTTTCTTTCCAGGTAAAAGATGAAATTCAGTTGGTAGTTGAAAAAAAATTGATTTACCAGAATTGGTGAGGACTTGAGTTACATAATGATCATTTATATGCACATGCGTGCGCAGGCGCCATAGTTCTTATCTCATTCACACACATTCTTATGTCTTATATTTAGGAACTCTATGGACGGGACAACTACTCTGATACCAAGAGATTATAAGCTGAAATTCTTAGACGACGTGTCTGAACCAGTTTATACAGGGAGGGAAATTGAAGGAAAAGAAGGAACCGACATTAAAGTTGCTCTAGTCGAAAGTGTAACTGAGGATACTATTGACTTCGGGCCTGAATCCTCAGCAACGGTGGAGATATTATTTCTTGATGCAGGTGTTGAAGACTTCAACAATAGCATTATTATAGCAAACAATAAGCCTCATTTTCGTAAACCTGTCTATGTTAATCTGGAGAAAGGCGTTGGTACTTGGCCTAAGAATGTCAAGTTAGGACACAGTTCTGCGTGGATAAAGGGCTGCAAATGCAGACTTGGGGCAAGAGTTGTGCAAAAATTTGATGGAAGTAGAATTAAAGAAGCATCAACAGAGTCATTTACAGTCTTAGACAAGCGCAGCAAATGTAAGTAGCTCACTTTGATTTTATTACTAACCGTAAGAATTTATTACTCTGCACATATAATGACGACGAGAGGAAGTTTACATATAAATGCTAAAACATTATAAAGGAAAATAAACCTTGCCTTTCCAAGTCCAATATGGTTGAAGCAACATGTAAGCACGATTAGGTCTTCATTTAAAGGCATCGTCAATGAGATTTTATATGACATCACACATCTTTACCTCTTCTTTTTGATTTCTCTTGATGAGATACACTAGTCTTAGCAAGGCAAGTTATATAGCTATGTCCGTTCTCACATCAAATATCACACTTCATGCTATCGTATTGCACACGTTCAAATTATTCAGTTTCTCGTTTTCTTTGCCCTCCACTGCCCGTGCGTCAATGCAAATCATATTCGGAACTAAGATAGAAACGTTGGTGCTCTTTTATTTTAAGTAGCTTTACATGTCAAATAATAAACTAAATCAGGGAAAGAAGGTAAATCATCAAAATTCCAGTTCATTTGATTGATAATTTCAAAAGGAGGATAGTGAAATATCACTATATCAGTATAACTGCTGGTTTCTATTTGCAGTATACAAGAAGCACGACCAACCGTCTCTTTTTGATGAAGTGTGGAGATTAAAAAATATTGGCAAAAATGGTGCTCGACACAAATATTTGCAGAAGAGTAACATTTCTACAGTACAGCAATTTCTGTTTTTACTCTCTGTTGATCCTCAGAGGCTCCAAAAAGTATTACTCATTGCACTATCCTCTTTCATTTACTCTTTCTGCGAATATTACTCATGCCATTAGTTTGCTTGTTCTATTTTTACACATTAAGTAAAAAAGTCTTCAAAATTTAGTTGCTTATGTTGCTTGTTTTTGGAGCTACATGTTTGTTTATATTTGAACTTTTAGTAAAGAATTTGAAGTTGATTGTTAACATGGAGTCCAAGAAGTTAATGGTTACTGAGGTCGCTGCACAGCTGAACCATATCTAATTCAATAGTACGTATATATGCGAGGGATGTACATCTGACTTGACTTGCTATATTTTGGCATAAGAAATCAATACATTTATTTTGGACATCTACAGATATTTCATGCAGGCCCTCAGATATGGAAGGGCACAGTGGATCATGCTTGTAAATGCGACATTGATGATAAAAAGCTGTATTTACACTACTCTTCCACCTCTGAATGTAAAGATGGCGTAGTTTTTGATGTTGTGGGACAATTGAAAGGGATTCTGCATAACAACCATTATGTTCCAATTGAAAGTGTAGCTCAGGCTGAAAAGGTCTGCATTTCTTGAATCGGTTTTCTTGCTCATTCTTTGTAGGGAAATAAATTAATTCTCCATAGTTATATCTAACTGATTTAGAGTCATTTTTGATAGGAAGATGCACGGAAGTTACTAGCATGTGCATTTGAAAATCAGAATGGCGCAGGAGCACCTGCACCTGCATCTGCATCTGAAAATGAGAAGAAGGCATCTGCATTTGATAATTGGAACGATATGGTCTCTTTCGATGATGAAGCTTCTTTTCTGCGTAGTCTTCCGGGCATATCCATTGATAAGAATGCCACCAACTCTACCGGACTGGACGGTCATTTTGGCCAATATCTTGGAAACGCAGATTATTTGAATGAACTGCCTTCCTGGTTTGCGGACAGGGGAGCAAATTCATTCTCTGATCCTCTGCCTCCGTGGGGATTTGATGATGGTTATGATATAATGGCTTCCTATCCTTCTGAGACCTGCATGGTTGAGTCAAATTCTGATCAACAAAGTATTGTAAGCAGGATCAGCATTGTTGGTGTTGTTATGACTTTAAGATGGTGGTTTCGAGCAAAAAAGAGGGTTGCATTTCCTGGAGATGGACGCGTTCAGAAAAGGCAGAGGCATGGATGACAGGCTGCGAACTTTGGATTTGCATTTCTTAGGCCCACGGCCACTCAGACGGAAGATGATCAATACGGATAATGAATAATCATCATTCGAAAATTCCAGTTGCTGGCGTTAGTGCTGCCAATGCTGCTAGTAAGTTATGTGGTGTAGTGCAAGTGTTGGATAATTTTCTTTTTGTATTTCATCATATAGTATTTAGATGGAAAAAGCCTGAAGTACAGGAAATTTCTTACTGAATTCGTACGGATGTTGACGTGGCAGAACTCGATTCACCTTTTTTTTTTTTTTTCTTGTGTTTTTTCCATCTTCCAATAATTTCATGCCATGTACTTGTAGCATGATTATCCAATCGAAAATTTGTGTTCCAGTGTCTAAAATATATGATCTTTACTAGTTGAGTCTGTATATTTCATTGTTGAAATTAATGAAAATCAAGGAATTTCATTGACGCTATGTTGATGGTGATATTTGCGGAAAATAAAGTGTTATTTGGGCAACGATTGCTAATCCAGAATGGTAGCCCGAGAAGCCCATCACGAGGCCCAATATCCAACCAACACGTTTTCCTTCAACACAGCAAAATGTGACTGTAGAATCTCCTTTTAATATTAAAAAGAAAAACAATTTTATCAAATAATTAAGTGGAAATTGGGGTAATATTCTCTTTACAAACTGAAGTTGAAAAGTGTCCATTATTCGTCATTTTAATTAAAAAAATGTTCAAATCTTTTTCATAATACTATGATAATCTTGACGTGACTAACTGTACAACATAAATATTTTTTATGACAATGCCCATAATAAATTTGACGTCACTAGTTGTACAACTCCAAAATGTTTGGAAAGACCAGAAAACCCTTCACGAAGCCACCTCACTTCCTGTAAATCTATTTTAATTCTCTTGTCGATACCCGAGTTCGCCTACAAAAATTGTTGTCCCTTTTCCAAAATTCATCTATGTCCTACTTTCTTCGACTATATCGTCCAATGCCTCATATTTAGAATTATGTCACTCCGGGGCGGACCCAGACGACTTGGATTAGGGGATCAAAAATAAAATTTATAGGGTATCTTTTAATTAAAAAAAGCTAAGAAAAAAAAGGCAATGCGAAAATTTTTTTTTCCCCCAAAATCTAGAGGGTCAATTGCCCCCCCCTGATGTCACTTCTTTCACTTCATATGAGTCGAAAGAGATTGATTACAATGCCAACCACTGGAGATTCAGTATCATATTGCGTTATCGCTCCAAACTATTTTTGTTGAAACAATCCATTATTTTCGACTTCGGTTACACATTCCAAATATTATACAGATATATTGGACTTGGACGTAATATTTGAAAAAAAAATAAAAAAGTCATTTTTGACGACACTGTAAAAAATAAACAAAAAACCCCATTTTGGACGACACTGTAAAAAAAGAATCATTTTGGACGTAATTCCTCTTTCTGAATAAGGACATATCTATTTAAATTTGTTATGTTATCACGAATCTTTCTCCACGGATATTGAAACTACTTTTACATAGATATCATATCTACGAAATTTCCTAGAATGTCAACGGTCACTGGCCAGTCCAGTGTCAGTGTCAAGAAACAATAATAATTTTCCATCAAATTGTATTTGATTGAGGTGTGAACAAAAACACCCGTTTGTTTTCCATTTTTGTAAAAATGAGAACGAAAAATATAGTCGTTATAGATTCCATACAAAAAATAAAAATTCAAATTTGATAACTTGATGTGATGGATAACGGTCATATTTTTCATTCTAATGAGAAAATAATGAAAAACAAATGAGGGCCTAATGTAAAAGATTTGTGCAATTAAATAATTAATCTTTGTTTGGTGAGAATTAAAATCAGATATTTAGTAAATTTTGATAAAAGCAATAAATTATGTGGTAAAAAAATTGTGAAAATCAATAAAATATGTAATTAAAATAAATTATTGACTTTGACTTAAATCGAAATTTTGATTTTAAGAAGTGCCAAATATAGGCTCAAATATTTTTAAAGAATATATTTGGACCATTCATTAGACTCGTGTCAAGTTACAAGTGGCTGAAGACTTGCAGTTCACACAAAATCTAGCACTGCTCTTGTTCGGTAGAGTTTTGTTTAGATTTCAAGTCGGTCAAAAAACAAAACTTAAAAAATAATAATAATAATTTAACCATATATTTCATTAAATTTATAATTATAATTATTTTTAAATATTTCATTTTATAAGATCCACGGACCACGATGCTAAATGTTTTAGAATCTTGAAATTCTAGCTGAATTTTCAATATTTCCACTAAATTCTCCCGACGTCATTATATTCAATATGAAAAATAATTGTATCTTAATACAGATTAAGCCCTTGTTTTATCCTTATTATTTTCAAAATACATTTTTCTGTATCTTCTTTTCAATCACACGTTCTTCAATAAAATAATATTATACGCAAATTCAAATATTTTTTTTTTTATTTTTTGATCACACATATCCATCAATTTACTATTACAAAATGCGTTCTCACAAGAAAATGGGGCTCAAATAAGTAGTTTTTTTTAGTTTTTTTTTATCCACATTATTTTTAAAATACATTTTTCTTTATTTTCTTTTTATTCACACATTTTTAAATAAAATAGAGTTTTGTCACTTTGCCAAAAGATTTTAAATTTTTCTTGACATAATTAAAGATGACAGAAAATGATTTGATAGGAAAACTAATTATGATTAAAACAGTTTAATGATATAACACCATGTGACATTACGTCAAACTTTATGTCCAAGAATCTGACACTACATCATGATTGAATAAAATAATATTACACGCAAACACAAAAATTTTCTTTACTTCTTAATCATACATTCTCAATCAATTTACTATTCTAAAATACATTCTTAAAAAATAATAGAGCTCAAATGGGCGCTTAATGAAACGAGCTAACGTGATATTTATGCACACAACATAATATATATATGTCAGACACCTCATGTTATTCCTTGTTTGGCTCTATTTTAATTTTAATGTATTTATTTTTTTCATTGTTCTTTTCAATTACATATTTTTTAAATATCTAAATGTGTATTTTATTTTATTTTTTATTTTTAGACATTTTGGGTACCGCTACACAAATAATGTGGTGGTGTGTATACTTCTACATTTTATCAGCCACGCTTTTGCTGGACGCGCCAAAATACTATTAATACTGTCTATTGACCATCAGTTAAGCAAATTAGAATTTTTAACTACATTTTGTTTCATCTACGAAACTACAACTCAAAATCAATTGTATCTTCCACTAAAAATGTCGATTAATCTACAGATAGAGGATGCTAATAATGGTGAATCAGAACAGGATAACAGTTCAGATGCAGAGCATTTACTTGTGGCTTTAAGAAAGTAAGTCAATGGATATTCTATTTGCTTTCCTTCTATAGCTTTTCGAGTTTATATGCATTTCTTGGCTTAATTTGGAAAATTAAATTGAGAAACTGATAATGGGTTCTGCTTATTTGCTTTAAATTGGTTGTTTCTTGTTCTTAATGGCAATTTTCGTATTTGCTTTTCTTTCTTTTCTGGATTTTAGGATGATGAAAAAGGAAATGGAGGTGATGGTGATCCGTACTGTTCAGAAAGTTATAGGGCCGATTGTGGAAGATTTGATTCGGAAAGTGGTGAGTGACAAAAAGGCATCCTCTGATTATAGTGCATATTTAGCAAAAAAAAAAAAAAAGAAAGAAAGAAAAGAAAGAAATACCCGCAATTGTGAGAATTTTGATCTACAGAATTTATGGGTCCTATCTTATCGTATGAAATAGCAACATGCTCTATATATAGCTTTGTGTAGGTAGAGAACCGCAGGGGTGGAGGTGGGGTGGGGTGGCGTGGGGATGAAGTAAAGGTTCGATCATGTTTATCTAAGGTTCTAATTTTTATCAAAGATATATTATTGATTTGATTTCTAAAGAAGTTTGGTAGTTGGACTCTTTTTCACTTTCATTAGTGAATAAAAAGACCTTTTAAAAAATTCGCCTCTTTTCAAAAGATGTATGTATGTAGGCATGAATGCAAAGGGGAGGATCCAGGATTAGAGTTCAACAGGGGAAAGAAGGAATTACTTAATAAATAATTAGATTTTGGTTCAACACTATGGGCTAAAATTATGTGGGCGTTTTTCTCAGTTTCAAAAATCAAGGGTCCAGTGGAGGCAATTGCACCCACTGGCCTTAATGGGTCCGCCCCTACATGCATGCATGTATGTATGCATGTTTTTTCTTGTATTTAGTTACGTGATAAAATGTGTATTCATATGAATCGATATAAATATATGTTATGAATCGATATTTATATATGATTCTAGTTAATTGAGGCGATTCGAATTCGCTTCTTCATGCTAATCTTAAGTGATTTACAAGGTAAGTGGGCTACTCCACTTAATATCATATGGTTTCTTGGGGAGGACTTAATGAACTTTAACAATAATAACCTTACAGATTCATGAAATTGATTTGTGCACGGATCAGCATTTTGCTAGGTATTGAATTAGGCATCTCTCTTATTGTATATTGGATAGCTACACTGTAGTCCATTCTTCTAATATACATTTCTTTGTTCAATCTTAGTTTGTCTAGTTTTCATGGCAAATGTTTACATTATCTTTCCAGGTCAAAGAGGAAATTCAATCAGCACAAGAAAAGTTTTTGACTCATCAAAATAGGTGAGGACTCATGGATTGGTCATTTTAGCTGGAGTAAAATGGAAGCGAAAGCTAATACTTGTATAAGAAAATCAATACAAGAACATTTATCTGCATATAAATATATATGTTCATGTGCACCACAGTTCTTATTGGTGAAGATTGTAATTCAAGATATTGAAAAATAATGCTAAATGTACCCTCCTTCCTTTACATTCTTTTTGACATTACCTTTTTTTTTTGAAAATTGTGAACTGTCCAATGATGTTTTATCATATGGCACAATGTAAAGAACGATATAAAGGATGATGTACATGTAGCATAATTGGAAATAGAATTACATCCTCTTAACAGTTTAAGCTCTTGGATGAGGTGGTTGAACATGATATCACAGAATGAATTAGAAAGTTCAAATCTTGCCACTACTCGTTTCAGAAAATTGTGCACATGTCATGTGTTTGTTAATAATAATGAATTGCTAAGCATACATTGGGGGGGAGGGGGGGTGGTTTAAAGACTGAATTTAAATAAATAAATTTATATGCTTCACTTTAATAGCTTAAGGTTTTAGACTTCAAATGACATCCTTGTGATTCAAATTCAGGAACTCAGTGGATGAGGCAACTCTTTCAAGACCAAGAAGTTTAGAGCTGAAATTCTTAGACAAATTGTCTGATTCTATTTTGACAGGGAAGGAATTCAAAGGAAAAGAAGGCAACCTCATTAGAGTTTCTCTAGTTGATATTGTAACTGGGGATCCTTTTCTCTCAGGGCCTGAAGCCTCAGCGAAGGTGGAGATATTAATTCTTAAGGCAGGTCCTAATGATAATGCACATAATGAGAATCTTAAAGACTTCAATAATAGCATCATTAGAGAAAATGAGAAGACGAAGCCTCATTTTCCTAAACCTGTCTATGTATATCTCGAGAAAGGCATTGGTGTATTGTCTAATGTCAAGTTAGGACATGATGCTCGCTGGATGAAGAGCTGCAAATGCAGGCTAGGGGCAAGAGTGGTGGATAAATTCGATGGAAGTACAGTGAAAGAAGCATGGACAGAGTCATTTATGGTCCTAGATAGCCGCTGCAAATGTAAGTAGCTCTCAGTATGGTTTTTTAGTCTTCTAGTGTCCTAAAGAATTTATCATATGCTATGACATATACAGCATATCCGGTACACAGTATAATATAGGACTTGACTATACATTAGATAAGATTTAACTTGTTTTAGTTTTTGAATGCTATCCCATAATGTCCGATTCACCTTTTGCTACCTCATGCATACATGACCATTTAGTCTCATAGCAATCTAACTACGTCGTTACCCTACTAGTCACCTCTTTGTTTGTATAGCTAGCCCTATCAAAATATAAACAAGACAATTCATGAGGTAAATCATCGAAATTCTAGGGCATTGGATTGACATTTCAAAACGGAGATGAAGAAATTTTAGTGTAACTGCTGGTTTTTGTTTGCAGTGTATGAGAAGCACTACCCACCATCTCTTTCTGATCCTGTATGGAGATTAGACAACATTGGTAAAGATGGTGCTCGATGTAAGCGTCTACATGAGGCTATGATTTTTACTGTACAGGAATTTCTGTTTTTACTCTCTATTGATCCTCAGAGGCTCCAAGAGGTATTGATCAATGCACTGATACCCTTTCATTTAAACTTGTAGTGCTTATTTCTTGTGGTATCAACTTTTTCTTGTTCTATCTGCACATATTTTATTGAGTAAAAAGCACTTAATTTTAGTTGCCTGCAGTATATATGTTTGTTTCCATTGAAACACCATTCTTTTTTATTGCTAATCCGTTTTATAGAAACAATGAGGTAGTTAACTTACCGGTATTCTAAAAGGTGTAAAGTGTGGATATTAAACATCTAAAATTATAAAATATAATATTTAGTTAATAACTCCTACTATTAGTTTATTATACAATTTTCAAGTTTTCGAAATGCAAAAATTAAAATATTTTTCATATTTTCAATTTTCAACTAGACAAGTCCTATTTAATAGATTTAGAGGAACATCATGCATGTTTTTGGAGTTTGTAATAAAATGAGTCTCAAGATTATAATTACATAATGTGGATAATATCAAAACTTAAATCTTATTTAACTATTTAGATAAAGTCATTTTTAAATTTTGTACTAATAAATTTTTTTAATAACTTGAAATTAAAGTCAAACGAAAAGTTTTTTTTAAAGAGAACAATAATAAGCTAAAGTCAAATAAAAGACTTCTAAAACAATAATAATAAAGTGTGTCTACAAAAGATGAAAGAAATGAAGGAAAAAATTTAGCCGTTTAGGAGTCGGAAAAAAAAGTATCTGCTTCTATATTTTTGCTTTATGAACATGATATTTTTTGGGCATTTTTAATAATATCAAGTCTTATCCTCGCTTCGCACCTAAGAGGTGCCTAGGTGCCACCTAGACGTGATTTTTAGAACATCGATATTTACTTAGAATACATATATTTAAAATTTTTGGCAGAATTGAACCATCTTCTGTAATTTATTCGTAGAATAATAGTATAGCATCTAGGAAGATAATTGAATATAAAAGAAAATGTTGCCATGTATTACTAATGGCAGAATAAAGATGACACTGGAGTTACCATAGAGCATCAAGTTGTCCCAAATAATTGTTTTAAGTATTTAGATTCTATGACTAACGAAGGAGGTCTTAAAAAAATATAATGCATAGAACTAGACTGGTTAAATAGAATGGAGAAGTGCTACACATATTCTATGTGATAGCAATATCCTAAAAAGGCAAATTTCTACCGAACAATTATCATATGTGCTATGCTTTTTGCTATTGCGTATAGGGCTATTAAATGACAAAACATCCTTAAGACAAACATGTGGAAAGGAGGTGTTAAGATAGATGTGTGGTGTGTGACGCGGACAAATGTGAGATAGAACAATAACAAAGGATTACTACTGGTTGGATCAAGAATTTTGAAAAACTCTTCAACGTATTATTAATATTCAAAATCAACCAACTTAAAATTATATTCTAACTCTCTTTTTAAACACAAAATCCTAGTTGTACTTTTAAAATAAAACAAACTCTGAAAATCTATGTATTTTGATAAAACTCCTACTGCACATAAAATAATAAAAGACAAATTAATTAAAAATAATAAAATATTAACTTCATTTGTATGTCATACATTGTAATTGTAACAATCTAATTTTGCTAGTTTTTTTCAAATTTGGTTCCAAAGCAATGAAAACCTCCTGTAACAATTTGGGTAGAATTTGTTAAGCTTTCTTCCTCCAGATTCACTCCATGATATGCAATTAATTTATTTCCAATATGAGCTGAAGTTGATTCCAAGTTAATTATCCCTAATGCTTCATGAAAACCTAGCATTATTGAATCACTTTCCTCCAGTGGTTTCTTTATTGACAAAACACCAACTTGACCTTCTAGGGTTTCGAAATTTTCACTACAATGAGTGTGTCAAGGTTCTCGAACCATGCAACCTTGGGCTCCTTATCAAAAAATGTTGTTAGGTTATAATCTTCACCTAAATTAGCATCTAGCTCGGGATTGAAAGTGACAAAATGATAATATTGTCCTAGGAGTCCTCCATATCGATTCCACGACAATTGTCAGACCACCACCCATGCCCACAACTCTATCATGTCAATGTCTAACATGAGATTACTAGCAGTTGATTTGCGCACAAATACCCATTAGATTGAGAATTTGAAGAAAATCTTCAATGTTTTTATTAATATTCAAAATCAACATAATTTACAAAAATCTTATCTCTCTATTTATACACATAATCATAATTAAACTTCTAAAATAAAATAAACACTGAAAAATTATCATAAAACTCTTAATCGTATTAAAACACCTACTAGACAAAAAATAATAAAAGACAAATTAATTAAAAATAAAAAAATATTAATTTCATTGTATCATGTATCATGGTCTATGATGCAACGACATGGAGTCGACACGAAACTTTTGAAAAAAAACTGACACGACACTTTGTCGACATGTTGATTAAATTCTTTATAATTCTTTATTTATATAGTATAAATTTAATGTTATACTTATTATTAATTTTTCTTATTGAAATCTTTTACATGAGTATTTATTTGTTGTTTAATAATAACTTTGAATTAAAAATATATAATTTTTTATAAGAAAAAAATGACTATTATATGGTATTTGAGGAGTGTTGATATTCAACACTTGTCCGACACCTGTCAGACACGTACACACTGCCCTAATTGAAGTATCCGTGCAACAGAGTTCGTGGCGTTCATAAAAAATTGGAGAAGATAAGACTTGACAATATGTGCTAATAACTGGAATTGACACAGATTTAAGGATAGATTAAGGAAAAACAACTTAGTTGGTTAGTACATGTTTTGCTTGGACCTAAAGATGTTATCATTCACAATAGTGGTGCACAATCCCAATAGAAGATGTTAGAATAAGCAGAGACACTGAAATTAGCATATGCTGTTGTGGTTGTGAAACATTTGATTGTTTTGGATCTTTTAGTGGACGTAATGATGGATCAAATGAAGTATTTGAAAGGATTCATGCAGCTAATCCCAAATATGTTGAGTACAAGGTATCCCAAATCTTCTCTGGATTACATTTGAAGTGATGATTAATAGAATTAGAAAATAACACATCAAATTGTAGCTCAGGATATTAATGTAGTACTATTTCTCTGAATATATTTCTTTCATAAATGATCAATATAAAAAGTATGTCTGAATTAACTCTCTGTATATTGGAATAGTAATCGAACTATATATTCGAGATTTCTACAGATACTTGGCGCAGGTGGTAAGAAATGGAAGGCCACGGTGGATCATGCTCATACTTGCCCCATTGACGACAGAAAGATCTACTCATACAACCCTTCCACTGAACATAAAACTGGTGTGGTTTTCAATATAGTGGGAAAATTGAAAGGGGTACTCCGTAACAACCAATTTGTTCCCATTGAAAGTGTATATGTGGCTGAGAAGGTCTGTCTTTTTCCTAATTATTTTCTTGCTCTTTCTTTGTAGGGTAACAAATGTTTTCTCTTAACAGACTGAATCCGCATTTCTAATGATTTAGTGCCAATTTTTATAGGCTGAGGCACAGAAGTTAATAGTATCTGCTTTTGAAAATCAGATCGATATAACCTCTTTTGGTGATGAGACTTCTTTTCTGCATCAGTTTCCTTGCATATCCAATGACAAAAATGCCACCAACTCCTCTGGGCTGGACGGTTCTGATGGCCGTAATAGTAGCATCGTTGAAAATATTGATCTATATGATCCTACACAGCCAGTTACAGCCGGCCGGGAAGAGGAGAGATCAACGACGATATCTCAGGGAATCAGTCCATCTATCAATCATTCAAATATTTCCTGTCCTTTTGGCTCACTCAGCTCCATAAATGTTGAAGATTTACATGAATGGACTCTAGGGCCTTTGGACAAGGCTCCTAGTTTCTCAACGTCTGACTTGGACTTTCTGTTGGAGAGTTTTCTTGACAATGAAGCTCTATCTTCTCCTACTCTCGGGGATAATGAAAACCTACCTGAGATTCGTAAGGTTGAATCATATTCTGATCAACAAAGTAATGCTGGAAGTATCCGCTTTGTTGGTGCTGTTATAACTCTACGATGGTTGTTTCGTGTAAGAAAAAGGGTTGCGTCTTTAGGAGATAATCAGGTTCACAAAAGGCAGAGGCACCGTTGACAGGCAGCAGATAACAGAGTTGTTTCAATTGAAAGTTATTTTAGGTTACATATATTGGCACTCGCTAAACTTTCAGTAAAATTACATGTTGACCACTAAAGTTCATTTCATTTCTTGTTTGTCACTAACCTTAACTTTGTTTCAAGTTGGTGACTCCATCAATATCCGCCAATCTGACTACTGGAAAATGTAACCTGGCAGTTTTCTTATTTGCCAACTAGCCTGCCACATCAGCTTTCCGATAGTCAAACTAAATGGCAATGGATCAAATCACCAAATGTTTAAGTTCATGACCAACTTGAGAAAGAGTTTAAGAACAGTGGCCAGTTTGGAAAATAATTTCAGTTCAGTGACACACATGTAGTTTTACTAAGTTTAGTGACTACCACTGTTTTTAACCCTTCATTTAGATGTTGCAACATGTGCATTTGAAGAAAAGAAACACGCTTTGGATTTTCAGTAAACGCATATACATATATTTCAGCAGCCCGTTCATTTCTAAGTTCTCCAAGTTTTTATGTGGCCTGATACGGTATAAAGGCAACTTTTATAGTAGTTGGCATGGAAGATTTTACAGGATGGAAATGTTATGGGGAATACCTACAAAATGAATTCCGTGGATATTTGATACACAGTACTGAACATGACTACACGGTACAATAAATACAAAGTCAGCTTTCATACAGTGATTCTGAAGCTTATGGAAATGGTGATCAATCTCTCCGTTGCACGTGCTTGCAGTTTTTACTGTGATTAAGATGGAATTAGTAATATTTCTTGTATTCAATTCTTCGTGTAGTAATAGTCTGTTTAGCCGACTCCAAATATATTAGGAAGATGCGTAGTTTGTTGTTGTACAGTAACGAGTTCGCTCATTTATAATTTGTGTTGTATATTTTTGTGGCATACATTTGCACACTGGGAATGCATTTTGATTATACATCATCCTGAACTGAAAATACACTTCTGTGAGTATGTTTGGCTAAGATTTGAAAAAAGTGAAAGTTACTTTAAGTAATAGACCCCTAAATGAAGTAAGTGGCATCAAATATCTTTAAATAAATTCACGCTACAAGAGATCTAGATTAAGAGATTCCGCTCATTACATTCATAACAAATAGTAGACATTCAATGAAATACAAGTCTAAATTCTCATCCTAAGATGTCTTTTCGTACTTTTTCTTGTGAAATATGAAATCGATGCTCATCTTAGAAAATATAAATTGATAGAAGTATGATAAACGTAAGCAAATGATATATATCCAACAATAAAGAAACTAAAAAAAAAAATCAAGAATTTTATCCATGTTTGATTTAGCTTCTATAATATAATATACATATAATTTTATTATTTATAAATAAATAAGTTCTTATAAATATTTTTTTATTATAAGATTAAATATGAAGTAAGTTACTCATTTTGATAGTAACATCAATTTCGTGGTCAAAATAAGTAAATTTCTTTCCTATCAGTATGAATAAGTTATATATGGAAATATTTCTAAAACTAAAAAAATTATTTATTTTGAGCTTGGCCAAACGTTTAGTGTCTCTTACTATTAAAATAAGTAATTTATTTTACCTCTAATCAATACAATTTTATTTATTATAAAAGTTTATATATAACTATAAGTAAAATATGCATTAAATAAAAAACTAATTTGGTAATAAAATTGTACACATTTCATTAATACCATGAAAGAATATTTGGATAATTGGATTTGGGGTTGTGACAAAATATGAAGCTCGGCTAAACATAGTTATTTGGGCCAATTTACCTATAAAATACCTTCTTTCTTACCATGAGGGTTGGGGGCAGGGGCCGGGGTATATCCAAGCCCAACCCATTGCTAGATCCGCCTCTGCTCGTAACTTTATGCATAGGAGTACACGTATAATTGACGAAGTTTTAACACCTTTTTTACTTCTAAATTCTTTAACATGTGCAATGTCGTATAATCCACGTCAGCTATGGTAGCAACCTGTCAATGTCACCCGTTCTAATTATTAAGAATTTACGAGTATGACACGAAAAAGCATCAAGTTGAAGAAAACGCACGTCAAATCAATATTGAAAATGGAAGTTAGGCTTACGGGTTCATATTTCGTTATAGCATACACCCAGCCCAAATCGACAGCTTCATAAAGTTTTCGGAATGCCTGCATATACACAAATCCATAAAGACAACTCTCAATTTTCTTAAATTTCCAGAATTATGTACATATAGTATGAACACAGAAATGTGGAGATTCGTCGAGTTTTTAAACATTTATTCTTATAATTTTTAAGATGAAGAAATTGGAGATATATAATGAGAAAAATAATAAATTAATCAAACTAGGAGAGGGGCAGACGACATCAGGAAAAGAAAGTATCGACTGGCACAAAAGAATTAACTGGCATTTAAGACAGATTGCGGATAAGAAGCAGAAATTGTGAGAGTGACGTACCTCAACGTCCATCACAATAGTCCCGTCTGATTGAATTGCATGAATTCTTCCCATAGCCTAACAAATTTTGAAACATTATTAGAACTTAGCAGAGCATAAAAGAAATATGGAAGTGAGCACTGTGATGATTCTTCTCCATTTTGTTTCTTGGAAACCACAGGATCTACTGATGTTCCACTTACCGCTTTAATCGAATATTTTAATCCTGCAAAAAGAGAGGGGTAAAATGTTAAACATATGGAGTCGAGATAAAAACTAAACACCCCAGAGCACCACACTTCCAAAACTACGTCCATGGCAGCCCTTATTCCCAGCTAGGTAACAATATGGAACCAATTTTCTACTGAAAGTAGCGCTCCCAAACAAGGGTTATTAGGCTATACATGGAATGTGAGAAGAATTTCTTGGGAATCCTACAAGATTCTTTTGTTCCAGATCTTCATCTGAGTTTGAATCCTACCGAGAGGTTCACTAGCGATCAGAAATTGTTGTTTGCTCCTATACGAATTGTAACAACCACATTGGATGTAACTCACCTTCCAAACTAGCTTGCAATGGGATAAAGTAAGCCTTAGCCTAGCGATATGTGATACTATTAGATTCATACATTTTGTAGGACCGACAACTAACCATTCATTTATTATCCGCACACCATAAACTTATAAGCAATTAAAATCACTACCAAATCCCTAGCCTCCTGTTAAAGGGGAGTAATAATAATAATAACAATGTTAACGGACAAACAACCTTAACACCTGAAAACAAAAGAAACCCAGATTCTCCAGATGGAAATTCAAACTAGCATTCGGGTTTTAAGACAAAATATATAACTATTAAATCACGGCCTATTAAAAGTTTGCATATGAACATGATAATTAACATATTCCTGTTTGATTATGTGAAATTGGATCTAATCTTCTACATGGGCTTGAAGCAAAAACGTTGTATGTTGTTCGGAGATAACAAGAAATCGAAAACAGAGATGAATTGATTTGTCTTCCGACAGAAATTGCTCCTCGTATTGCCATTTTCTTAATAATTTTCTTTTGTGTACACTTTGCTGCTTTGTAATGACAATGTCCACGTGGCAGCACTTGCTTCATCAGAATGATTGTTAGTAGTTAAATTTGTAAAAAACAAAAGAAACATTTTCGACTTTATTTGGTGCCATTTGTGTCAATTTCACTTTAGACAAATGAGTCCAAGTAATGAGGCTTTGTGTTGGTTCTCTCCCAAACGTCTCGATATTACGACGTCGTTCAATTTATGGACTGAATCCAAAAATAGTAAAAAGTATGAGGAGTATTTTGTAAAATGTTCAGTTCACGTGACTCACTGAGTCAATTTCGTTTTTCAATTTGTCTACCCAATAATACAGTTCAGCTGAGACGGTCTCTTTCTCTCTAAAGATATGGCGTTTTTACTCAACAAAACTGCACTCTCTAAACTTCGATTGGTACGTACATAAACACGTACACCCACACATACGTTTATGTAACTTTATATGTCGTTCTGTAAAGACTATTTTTACGTTAATCATTTATTTTATATGCGTTTTTACTGTGGATTTAATGTGGAAATGGGGTTGTAAAATAATGGGTTATCTGTGAAATTTACCGCAGAAAGCTGATGATTCGTTAATGCTATCAAGACGTGGATTTCATGTTGAACCTGGAGCTCGTGAGAAGGCTGTGAGTGTTAGCGTCTTTTTCTTCTCATTTGGTGGATTTTTATTTTTATTTTTTTCAGAAAATATTTGTGTGCTCAACTAATTGTTTAGATCTGAACCCAAATGTCAATTTATTGAACAAAATTGTTTTTGGAGGGGTCCGAAGAGAAGGGAGATTGCTAATTTGATAATGGATTCTCTTGTACATTTGATTGACATGTTAGGTTCATTCATTTGAGCTAAATGATGTCGTTTGGAAATTGATCGGGCGATAAAGAGAAGAATCAAGTTGTGGGCTTTTTCTTGCTTACCCAGAACCGAGATTTTGGATTTAGAGTTAGATTGCATTTTGTGGATTAGAGGTGGGGGCTATGATATTGGAATCAGAGAACTCCATATTTGAAGTCAAATTTTATTTTTCTTTTTTCCCCCAATTTTCTTAATGAAGTTCTTCAATGCAATGCTGGTAAGATAAATTCGTGTTTCCTTAAAAAATCAGTTACTAATCTACATACCTCATCACATTTAAGTCCTTGTTTGAGAAAAATCAAATTCGCATCTTTCAGATGGGCAAATGTTAAAGGAGATAGACTTTATTAGTTGATGGTCTATGTGATCTATTTTTCAACTTTTCTGGCGTTAAAATCAGTCTTAAAACTTCACATGAGCATCTGAACACATCTTTACTGCACTTTTCTTCTGGGTGGTGACATGTCAAAGGATAGTCCATCTGGAGTTCCTTTGCACCCGGATGGTCTTACAAATTAGGTAAGAGGCATTTAAGATCTAGAATTTTTATAGTTCGAAATGATCTTGGTTGATATGGCTGCCTCATTGTATTCATGGGAATGTTCATGTTCTAACCCTTATACTGTATATTTCAGTAGTGCATGCTAACTTGTGTTCTGTTGTCCAATTTGCTTTCTATCTCTCCGTTTGTGGTGAAAATAAATTGAACAAATCCGGAGTAATAGTCACCTTTGTTTATATGTTCATGAACTCAACTTGTTGAATTTTTGTCCTCTTCCATTTGTTCTGAAACAAGCTCGTTTTCTTCCAGCTCTTGGCCGAGGACCCAGCACTAAAGTGTTTCAAATCACATAAGAAAAGTGTGCGGCGCTTGAAAGTAGTAGGAGATGCTCTCACAGTGCTAGTTGTAGCTGGTATGCCAATCTCTTCACCACAAACTATAATTGATCCTGTCAACTTTATTTTTTCTCAATGACTAAAGGGGTGCAATATAAAACCTAATGGGGTGTCACATAATAATTTTTTTATTGGCTAAAAAAGATGCAACACATAAAGCCAAGAGAGATTTGGGGTTAAAAGTCCCGTAAATTGCAATTAGTATAGAAGTTGGGAATTGGGATGACTCGTATTCATTTAGTTGGTTTTAATAATAAAAAAATTGAGTTATTCACTTGAAATCTTGATTGGTGATTTATCGATAGGTAAGTAACAGGTTAGGAAACAAAAATGATTGGTTATCTAGTTAATATTCACAATATTGAAAAGTAATCAATTAATAGTAGTCAGTTTTCTTAGTTCTATATTCAGATAATGATGATTTGTTCATATATTTAAACACTTGGGGCCTTCTGAAATATAGTTTCTGTGAATGTTAGTAGAGGTTTATGTCACAATTTAGGGATTGTAACTGAATGTAGAAATACATCGTCTGCTATATAAGGCTGTCATGTACAAATAATCTCAACTCAACAAACTTTTCTTCCACGCTATCTTGTTTTGCCAGTATGCCCTTCTTTTACTCTATTCTATCAAGGATCAATCCTACTGGTACTTGCATTACTTATCTCTCTTATTACCATCGTATCATAGCTGGAAAGACAGTGAATAAACACTAATATTTTAGTCTCACATATTCTGGACAGTTATATCAGTAATGTTTGTGCCTGTTGAAGTGTGGCTAATCCAGTTTTCTGCATCAGTCGAGCTTTTCCTTCCTTTGCATTCTATCATGTTTGAGGAATGATGTTCATATTACTTGCCCAAGTGACACCTGTCTCTAGTCACACCTTCACATGCCTTTTTGGAATCCCGTTTTCTTTTGTTGGGGTTCATGACCGAGCATTGATATGACTGATTAATTACTCTCAATTTGTAATACACTGTGAATAAACTTGAATAGAATAATTCGTCAAAATTTTAGCCTCTTTCATCTTTAATAGTATCTGGTGTTGTACAATCCACTCTACCTAACAAGCCGTTAAGGCACAACTGTATGTTATCCTCACTTGATTTCTACCTTGCTATTCTCTCACTTTTGTTATCAGGATGCTGCTATGAAATTTATGTTAAAGCAGTAATACGAGAAGAAGCTCGTAATCAGGCGAAAGAGAATGCATAAAAGTGGAAGCCCTGTCATTTACGCCGTTTTCCATCAGTACAAAATATCTACTGGGCAAGGGAAATGGACAGTTTGATGATAGTACAAGACTTTTGTTTGGACCACAATGGCTAGTGATTTTGAGAATAAAATGGTTTGATAATTTCAAACTCCTTGAATTGGCAAGTGTAATGTCAGTTGAATGTAGTTTGTAATAGTTTTCCAATTTTTTTTTTTTTCTTTTGACTGTTAAACAAATTCAATGTGAATGTTCTCTGGTGGGTGGGTATTACCGAGATAATGTTTGTTATATTGTACGGTGCATGAACGAATAACACAATAAGAGGGTGTTTGTGAGCCATTTTTATGTAAAAATATATTTTGGAATGGTAAATTGATGGGAAATGTGTGGTTGAAAAATAAGGAATTTTTTTTTATTTACGTGTAATATTATTTTAATGAGGAATGTATGATTGAGAAGAAGAAAGAGAAAAATGCATTTTGAAAAAAATGGATATTAAAAGGAGCCTAAATAAAATTTGAGGTTCTTTTTCATTTTGGGGTCCATTTTGTTCAAATTTTCATGGAGAAATATTGACGGTTAGCCGTCTCTATGAATATTTAGTCATGTATTTAACTTGAAGTAGACTTTTCTACAATATTTAACGGTTGGACTGTTTCTCTCCTCCTACTCATAAATTTGATACAGTTATTTGGTGAATAATCATGACATTTAATTTAAGTCAAGTTAACGTTCGATATGTATTTCCCTTAAATTATGAAAGTGTTTGTTATAACCACTTAAGATTTATAAGATACTAAGTGTTGGATTGATTTAAATTAAAGTTACGATTATCTGTCAAATAAGTGTGTCAAATTTATGAATAAGAAGAATGATTCCGATTTAATCTTTACTCTCTTAAAAGAGAGACTTTTGGTACTGTTCATTTATGTCACAACCGTTTTCACACTTGAATTCAATTTATCCGGTTTTGCTACTTCAATTTATCCGGTTTTGCTACTGTAGTTTGTCCTTTTCTTTTTCTTTTTTTTTTCCTCCTTTACATTGTTTTCCCACTTTACCCTTGAAAATCCCACCTTACACTAATTAACACATTCAGGGCTTAATAGTCACTTGCGCCCACAGTTGTTGACTTTGCACAGACAAGTTTTTTTTTTAATTTTAATTTTAATTTTTTTATTTATACTATCAATATTTTTTTTTAACTTTTTAAGAAACGCGTTTGATATAATTTTAACTATTTTTGATATTCATTTAGATCAATTCGATGAGTCCATAATATAGTTCTCGAAACGAGTTCGATAAAATATAGACAATATATTTTTTATAGATGTTGCGTTAAAAAAAAATGACGAGTTATACGCATTTTTTAAATTTGACGTCAAACTATAATTGGGGATTTGGAAGGGAAAACGGCGAAATTTGACCTCGAAAACGATGTCCACCAAGCGAAGCTAGGTGGCCATAACGTGCGTGTCGAAAAGAACTTTCTGAATTGAGGTCATGGGCTCAATTCCGATAACTGTAGCAAAACGTATAGCCAAATTAAAAAAATAATAATAATAAATTTAGAAAAAAATAAGTCCGTAAGAAAAAAAAACAGAAGAAGAAGAGTAAAATTAGACACTTCGTGCTGCGCGGAGTGCTTGCCATTGAGCACTCCACGCAGCGCGGAGTGCTTCACTAAATTTTTTTTTTTTTTTTTTTTTACGGATTGTTTTGGTAATTCGAACATTACTTTGGCTACGGTTGTCAGAATCGTGCCCATAACCCCAATTCGAAAAGCTTTTTTCGACGCGCACGTCGTGGCCACTTCGCTAGGCTGGGTGGACATCGTTTTCGAGGTAAAAATTCGCTATTTTCCCTTCCTCTTCATTTACACGTTTGATATTTGTTTAACTATTTTCGATATTCATTTAAATCATTTGACGTGTCTATGATATAGTGCTCAAAATGAGTTTCGATGTAATATAGAAAATATATTTTTTTATACATTTTACGTAAAGGAATTAAGAAAAGTAGGGCGATAATAATTTTATTAGGAATTTTTATGCCAAAAACAAAAAAAAAAAAATATTTTACGCAACATCTATAAAAAATATATTTTCTATATTCTATCAAGCTCATTTCGAGAATTATATTATAGACATATCGAATTATTTAAATGAATATCGAAAATAGTTAAACGTACATCAAACGCGTAAATGAAGAAAATAACTATAGGAGATTTGGAAGGGAAAACATCGAATTTTGACCTCGAAAATGATGTCAACCCAACGTAGCTGGGTGGCCACGACGCGCGCGTCGAAAAGAGCTTTCCGAATTGGGGTCATGGGCAGGATTCTGATAACCGTAGCCAAAATTATGGTCGAATTACCCCAAAAAAAGTCCTAAAAAAAATAATAAAATAAAATTTTCCAAGCACTCCGCGCTGTGCGGAGTGTCTGAATTCAAATTATTTATTTATTTATTTATTTTTACTTATATTTTTGTGTTCATTTTCAAGCTCATTACGGAATATCAAATAAAGTCGAAATATTATATTCTTCATATCGTTTTGAAGTATTCGCGACATAGTATTGCACGTCGTTCACGATGCGTGAAACGATCAATCATAGCAAATGTTATCGAACGTCAAAGTAGGTATGTTCAAACTATATTTCGAAATTTTCGATAATGAGCTAACTTTACGAATTTATCGACGACTGTGCGATAATCGAATCGATAAATATTTTATATTTTCTCGAAACTTATTTTGAGAATTATATCGTAGAGACATCGAATGGTTTAAATAGATATCAAGAGTAGTTAAACGGATATTAAACATATGTGTTAAAAAATACGAATAATTCACTTTTCTTAAAAAAAATCAATTATTTTATTACTATTTCGAAATTTTCGATAACAAGTTAACTTTAAAAATTCGTCGACGATTATACGATAGTCGAATCGATAAATATTTTACATTCTCTCGAATTTTTATTTTTATTTTTTACTTATATTTTTGTGTTTATTTTCAGGCTCATTACGGGATATCAAATGAAGTCGAAATATTATATTCTTAATATCGTTTTGAAGTATTCGCGACATAGTATTGCACGTCATTAACGGTGCGTGAAACGGTCAATCATAGCAAATGTTATCGGACGTCAATGTAGGCATTTTCAAACTATATTTCGAAATTTTCGATAACAAGCTAACTTTAAAAATTTATCGACGACTGTGCGATAGTCGAATCGATAAATATTTTATATTTTCTCGAAACTCATTTTGAGAACTATTTCGCAGAGACATCGAATGATCTAAATAGATATCAAAAATAGTTAAACGGACATTAAACGTATGTGTTAAAAAATACGCATAATTCGTTTTTCTTAAAAAAAATCAATTATTTTATTACTATTTTGAAATTTTCGATAACAAGTTAACTTTAAAAATTTATCGACGATTGTACGATAGTCGAATCAGTAAATGTTTACATTCTCTCGAAACTCATTTTGAGAACTATATCGTAGAGATATCGAATGATCTAAATAAATATCGAAAATAGTTAAACGGAAATTAAACGTATGTGTTAAAAATGCATTTTTTTTTAAAAAAATTATTTCTTTTTTCCTTTTTAATTCTTTTTTGTTTGACGTCAAATTTGTTTTTTTTTTTTTTTTTTTAACGTAAATTTTTTTAATAATCATTCTTTTATGCAAAAAATTGTATTAGATTATTTTAAAAATTAATTTATCAAGAAGAAAAAGTAACAATAAGAAAAAAAATACCTAAAAATTATCGAATTTTTTTTATATATAATTTTTTTTTAGATGTTAAAATAATTAAGATGAAAAATTTGTTGGCTCAATTTCTTGTTGCTATAATTCAAATGTATTTTTTCAAACATTATTATTTTAGTCTAAGTGATTATTTTACCTATAAATGACGTATTTGATAATACTATATTCAATATAAGTAAGTTGTTTAATTAATCGAATCATTTTTTTATTGTTGAATAACTAATTGATATAATTAAATCGTTTAATTAATCGAATCAATTTTTTATTGTTTGCAATCTCCCTTTGTTTCCTTATTTAATATGCTAATATCTCCTTTTATAAAATTCAAGCCATGCATTGCATGGCACAAGACTAGTAGTATTAATAAATGAATGAAGTTAATGTTTTGTACTGTCGAGTACTCAATGATATGTTCTATTGTTATGGAGATTTATAAATATTTAACATAAAAGAAAAAGTAATAAGTATGGCTTATCTTCTGAACTAACAAAGGGGAAGAATTAATAAAATAAATAAATTTAAATTGCCAAAGTAGGGATGACAATTTAAACCGTCAAAATCAAAAATCGCGGTTAACCGAACCGAATGGAGCAAAAAAAATCGAACTGATGGTGCAATGAGGCGGATATGATTTTTATTTTTATGAACCGGTTCGTGGCGGTGCGGGTATGGTATTTAAGCCGTCAAACCGAAACCGAACTGATTACCCGCTAAAAAAAAAATCAATTGAATTGATTATTAAGCTTTACACTACTTTTTTATCTAGCCCAAAACAAAATCCCCCCATTACATCTGCATGACTCAGCCGGCCAACTCATTTACCATTAGCACATAATAATAGCATTAGTATGATATGCAAACCCTACTCTCCACAGACCACAAACTCACACACGGCTCTTTCTATTGTTAATTTTTTTCTATTGTGCATAGAAAATTCTACTTCTTTATCACACTCTAGAGCTTGTGTAATGTTTTAGCGAGAATGAAGCTGACGAAGAGGTACATTTTTTTATTTAAATCTTAGTTAAGATCATTCTGGAATAGGTAGTATCGTTGTATTCTCTACTTAAATTTCTATATATGAATCAATTTTGAGTGTTGATCTATGCTAGTTGAAGAATGAATCAAGTAACTTCGATGTACAACAATTAAAAATGAAGGAAAAATTTAGTATTATTATATTTATAAGATTGTTTGTTAAATTTGTATTTTACAATTGAAAAATTTGGATAATGTTTGCATTTTCGTTTGGAATATTGTATTTTTGTTTTATTGACTTTTTTCATAAATTATTTTATATCAATTTGACGGATGAACCTATAAAAAATAATTTATTTTCGTGGTTATTAACCGAATCGAACTGATTTACGTGGTTATGGTGCGGTTATGATATGGTTAAAAAATTGGTGGTGCGATTATGATTTTGGTCGAACTGACTCATAACCGAACCGTTGCCAACCCTATGCCAAAGTAGCTTTTTCATGAATATAAAAACAATAAGCAAAGTGCAAGTTCTATTCAAAATTTTGAAGTGAATTGTCCAAATAGTCACTACACTTTATAGAAGGTTTCTACGAGGTTATTGAACTTTAAAAATTATCTCATTCATCATTAAACTTTCATTTTGTAATCTCGTTAGTCACTGAGCTCAAATTCTATTAAAAAAATTGATGGTTGGCTAATGCGTCAACTAGTGGATGTCAAGTCAAGCAAATATTATACACATGGATTTTTCTTTAATTAAAACATGTTTCATAAAAAAAAAAAAGATAAAAGGAAAAATCAAAACCACTTTCACTACCACCAACTGCCGATTCCCACCTCCAAAAAACCACCATCCTGCCACCTAGGCCGTTGGGTATCACCGCTACTAGTATTGGCCTCACTCGCCCAACAAATCCCGACCACCACCCTAGCCTCATGCCCCCCCAAACGCACCCCGATAGCCACCAAACCTCTAACCATTTGTGGCCAAAAAACTCGACAGCAACCACCCTTCCAGTAACACCCATCATGGCCAACACATATTGGCCTCCTCTACACTCTAAGGCGCATCTAACCATGGTTTCATATCATCAAATAGTGAAGCAATTCAAAATTTTCAGGCTCAAAATCTTTGGCCCCACACGCATGCATGCACCCGAGGTGAATTTGCCTCCAATTGATGGGCAAAATGATGTCATTGCAACAAATTGGACCTATTACAACCTTCAGCAAGTTAATATGACCTTGGGTAACTCCTCAATTGAATCAATTAATCCATTACTTGCTCCAATTTTCTAAATAAAAAATCTGCCCAACTTTTTTTAGCTATTTGACATAAATCTGCCCATTTTTTTGTTGATATGCGAATTTGCTATCAATTAGTGGTGGCTATGGGTGTCAACGATGTGGTTTACAGTGACGATGGTTGATTTTGAGGGAGATGGAGATATCTTCTTCTGATGCGAATTTGTTGTGTTTCAGTTCAGCTCTCTTTTGAGTTTTGCGCCACGTCAACGAACCATGTCAACACTCCATCAATGTTTTAATGGAATTTGAGCTCAATGACTAAAGAGTTTACAAAATGAAAGTTTAGTGATAAATGAGGTAATTTTTAAAGTTTAATAACCTCTTGAAAACCTTTTATAAAGTTCAATGACTATTTGAAAAATTCACTCAAAAATTTGAACAGTATTATGAGTTGCCCATTATTCAAGCACCCTTCTATCTGTCTCTCATGATACGGTAATATGGTGACAAAATTTAGATTAAAATCACATCAATCATGACTAAACTTGGCTTTTTCAAAAATGAAAAAGGCAATTAATTTCCCCCCCATATGAAACAGGTGTACAAGAATATTCACTTACACTCTCAAAAAAGGGTGGAAAAGAATTACTCTGATTCCTGATTTTAATTTTTCCCCCCCTAAATTTGGTTGATAAAACTATTTTATGGAATAATAGTTGATTTTTTTTAAGTAATAATAGTTAATACTTGAATATTGATAATTCAATAAAATTCAAAATAATGCATGACAACTAGAAAGTTTTGCACTAACTGGACTTTAATTTGAATTTTAAATTGAAACTTTAGAATTTTTCATTCTTGTACTCGTGCCAAGTTAATGCACTTTCATCTCGAAGTGAAAAATAAAATAAAATTTCTATTATCACTACGATGCTAACACCTTATATAAATTGCAATGTATTAAATCTTGCATAAATCAACAAGGTCAAATTATATGCTCAATTTTTAGCTTGAAGAAAATAAATATCGTTTGTAACTTATAATATTATTTTCAGTAAATTTACAACAAAAATAAGCAGAAATACATATAATTACAAAGAAAAACGAGTCAAAAGCAAGCTTCCCGCTAAACTTGAAACATAATGGTCCTTCTTTTCCACAATTATAAACGGTAAACATTTTATTATTATTATTTTTTTGTGTGTGGGGTGGGTTGGCGGGGGTGCGGGGGAAGAAGAGGGTTATTTTATTTTATTGTAATTATTAAATGCCAGCTAAATTATGTTCAAATTTGTCAAAGGGTGGCTGGTTGGCAGTGCTGTGATGAACACATGGTAATGCCTGCACTACAACTCGTGAGTGGCTTACCTGTGAAAACCCAAAAACAAAAACCCTTTTCCGAGATCAAAAATCTTGCATCAATTTCTGTAAAAACTTGTTTGTTTTGGGGATTTTTGGGTATTTTCAAGAATCAAGATCTAAGAACAGAAAGAGGGACATGGCAACTTTTGCAGGGACAACCCAAAAATGCAAGGCCTGTGAGAAGACTGTGTATTTGGTGGATCAACTTGCTGCTGACAATAAGGTTTATCACAAAGCTTGTTTTAGATGCCACCACTGTAAGGGTACTCTCAAGGTCTGATTTTTCACTTCTTTGCTTTAATCTTGAAGTATATGTACTTGTATGTGCTGGAAAAATGGGTTGAGTGTCTGAATTTGGCATAAAATTTAAGTGAGACCTGGTTGGTTATTTTGGAAGTTCAAGATTGACCCGTGTTCTCTTCCGTGAGAAAATCGAAATCATATATTGACTAGTAAAAAATGATGTTCGGTGAATGAGAAATTGAAGCTCAAAGTGTGCCAATTAAAAAGAGTTTATGTGTTGGAATGAAACTAATTAAGGTCTGTCTCAAATAGAAAAATAATGAAGACAAATACTACATTACATTGGATTGCACCTTGGAATGGTGAGATCATGCGGAGTATGGGGGTTCCTCTACGTGCGCGCACAGGGGGCAAATTGGACCGAATTAGGCTTCGGACCTTGAAATATTGACCTCTTAGGAAAGTCTACGTTTTGTCAAGTTTTCCTCCAACTGACCTTTTAAATTCCAAAATTGTTTAAACTTCAATATTCATTGTCATTATAATACGAGTTAATGGAATTCATGGGGTTAAGTCTATATATGCAACCCGTTTTTTACTATCCCACACAAAAACAAGAAGGAACAATTCAATTTCTGCATAAATAGCTTCTACATATTTTTGGTCTACATAGTTACACAATTCCTTGTCCTGTACTTTTTGGTGATATTGTTTTGACACAAGTTATGTTCTCCTGAGTAGTATTTGAGATGCTCAAATTCTACCGTTCCTTCGTTGTATCCTAGGAGACAGATATCCAGATTAAATTTCAAGCACCTACGGTGAGAGGGTGAATATGTTTTAAGGAAACTCACCCAGGCCTTGGTTCAATTTTTTTTTTTTTCCAGCTAATTAGATTAACTCGTTCTGTTTTATTGTAATTTAATCTGCTACATATTTTGGCTAATATTCGGTAAGTTCACTGCAAATCCGGTATCCAAGTTCATTGCATATATGTTAAGTTGCATATACGGTATGCGTCAAACCGGTAAGTTGCATATACGGTATGTGTCAATTTGGTAAGTTGTAAATCCGGTATATGTCTGTCCGATATATGTTAATTCGGTATTCATTCACTAATATTTAGTCCAACAATATGTAAATGTACACTACAGATTATGTTGTTTCCTGAATTAACTGTTCTTGTTGGAAGTTGATGAATTAATTTGTTATGGGAACTATTGGGATTGATTGTTGATGTATATGGTTACTTAGTTCTTGATTGTTAGAATTCTGATTTCTTCAATACACAAGTTTGGATTTTGGATTTTGATTCTCCTTAATTTGGGCAATTGATACGATGGTTTCCAATAATTTGATTATACGTCAATTTCATAAGCTAATTTTCAACTGAACTGTTCAACTGGATGACAACTTGGTTTAGGTTTTTCAATTTGAGTGGTAGTTGTTTTACTGAATGGATTTTTTTTTTTTTTAATTCTATGAATCACAATGTTAAAGGATTCATTTATTAGAACTTAATTTTTGATAAGGATCCTCGATTATCATTTATCAGTATCTGATGTTTAAAATGTTATGAACTTTAGCAGTAAAATTCGGTTGAAATCCATACTCTACATCCGAGAAGCCTATCGTTTTCCTCGGTGTGATATGGTTTTCCATGAAACTGTATTTTTGTTCATGGCTCTTGTTCGTATATGTGTTTGAAGAGGCTAAACAGCTGCGTGAATCTGAAATATCAAGCACAAGGTTTCTTTCTGAGAAAGTGTCCACTTTTTTCTAAGGAAATTGATTTTTTGGGCCACTTAGTTCCTTTATATCAATTTTATCTTGAGGTCCATTTTAATCATAGAAATTAGTTTCCCAGAATACCACGCTGCACCTATGTTATTCCTGTTGTGTATATATCAACCTGAATACACCATGCTTACAAACCATACTCAATTGGCTTATTATGCTTCGATTGAGAGGTAAAGCTAGGTCATTTATCCAATTGTTATATGTAAGCACAGAAAAGCTGGCTATCTACTCAGCGTGCAAATATTGGGATACATTCATATGAAAAATGAAATTTCTCTTTCCCACTAAGTTCCAGTAACCAGTGGTGTCTTGTATTAGCAGGGTTTGTCAGGTTTTCTTCTTTAAATTTCCCCTGTTAGTTTTTTCCACAAACTTGAAGTCTGTAACCTTATCAGCATTAATTCTGGTCGACCTCTCAGCCTTAAAACTTTGGTTGCTAAATAGGATAATTGAACATAATTTACTTTGGTTGCTAAATATTTTATTTCATTGGAAAAAGAAGTGATGTAATCATGCTTTAGTCCCAAATTTATTGAAATACAAATGTAGCTCATTGTATCTAGGGAATTGAATTATGTGTTTAACTATTGTGTTTATGTTTCTGTTTTCCATTTAAATTCCTCTGCCAAGCTTCTAAAAACATTTCTCCCTTCAACAACAATGGTTGGTCATGATTGGGAGCTACAGATAATTTCAAGGACGATCTTGTTTGTCTTCATACAGAGCGGCCTTTGGTGATAGCCTAATCTTGAAGAAAATAATGTTTGTTAAGCCAATAATTGGTATTAGCTAGTCGCCGTGCATCATTTATTTGATTCAAGGTTTAAGTCCAACTAGTCAAAACTAGTTTTGACAAGGAGAGACCATGTGTTCCTTTCTTTCCTTCGAAATCTAATTTTCTACAATGCCATCATGGCAACTGTTTGATATCTTATAAGTGAAGTATTCATGTCAACTGTTTGATATCTTATAAGTGAAGTATTCATGTCAACTGTTTGATATCTTATAAGTGAAGTATTCATGTCAACTGTTTGATATCTTATAAGTGAAGTATTCATGTCAACTGTTTGATATCTTATAAGTGAAGTATTCATGTCAACTGTTTGATATCTTATAAGTGAAGTATTCATGTCAACTGTTTGATATCTTATAAGTGAAGTATTCATGTCAACTGTTTGATATCTTATAAGTGAAGTATTCATGTGAAAAATTAATGAAGAGCTAACATTTATTTAATTCCATTAATTGTTGGGATAAAAGCCATAATATCGATGGTATTATGGCACAAATTTTCTTATTTACTCTATGGTTTTCATTTCAGTATTGTATTGGTATATATGTACATTAAATCTTTGTCTGGATCACATTTTAACCTTCGCATCATTCTATTTTCTGCAGCTGAGTAATTACTGTTCCTATGAAGGAGTTCTATACTGCAAACCGCACTTTGATCAACTTTTCAAAATGACTGGCAGCTTAGATAAGAGTTTTGAAGGTCATATAAACATCAACTTAATTCTTACCACTTCGCGTTTTTTTTTTTGCCCTGATATTTTATGTTTTAGCTAATCCATTTCTTTACATTACTTACAGGGGCACCTAAAAGTGCTAGAGCTGACAGATCCGCCGAGCATGGCCATACAAGTAGCAAAGCTTCAAGCATGTTTGGAGGAACTCAAGATAAATGTGTTGCTTGCAAGAAAACTGTTTACCCTCTTGAAAAGGTACTCGTGATTAGAAAAGAGAACATGAATAGATACGCATTGGCTTTAATGGTTATGAAGTGATGAATATTATTGGGATTTAGCATCCTCCAAATTTAACATATGAACATTGCCCTAAGTTCTAGTTGCTTTTGATCTCCTGGCATTTCCAATAAATGATATAGTGGCAAAACGATTCACTTAGCCAACACCAAATTTATTGAGAACAAGGAACGTTTTTGGCTAAGCTTAAGAAGGTTCATTTATAAATAAGTTTCAAAATAATAAGTCAAAGTTGGAAATAAGTAAGTTAATAGGTACTTCCAAAGTAGGGAATTCTTTTACTTCGAAGTAAGGAAGAAGCAAGTTATACAAACATGTTTGAAAGTAAAAAGTTACTTAAAAATAACTTGTACTTTTGTCGTAAAGCCTAGCCAAACATGCTTTAAAGTCTGTTGTTTGCATTCCAAGAGTCCATCGTGTGAACACTTTTCATTCTGTCCCGAGTTTCTGTGGTTCAGTTTAAGGCACTAATCAATGAAATTTTTCATAGGTGGCTGTTGATGGAACTTCATATCATAGGGCTTGTTTCAAGTGTAGCCATGGGGGCTGCGTTATAAGTCCGTCAAACTATGTAGCCCATGAACATCAACTGTACTGTAGGCACCATCATACTCAGCTTTTCAAACAGAAAGGCAACTTCAGCCGACTGGACAAGCATGAGCAAGCTATAGAGGAAAACGGGTCAGACTAAACCAATAATAAGAAGCTTGTAGGTCAAGAAATGCGGTGCCGAAGCCAGAAGCAACTGCATGCAACTGCAGAAAAAACCCTTTTGACTGTTTGAGAGTAATTTCTTTTTGTTGTTGATCGTGAATTGTTTCTTTTAAGTAACTATACTGTCAGTTTTTGCCCTTGAATGGACTGTGTGTACACTGTAATATATTTGCCGTGCTCTTGTTTGAAGCTTGAAATAGGGTTTTGTGACATAAGAATCTGCTCATTTGATTACTTTTTTCATCCTTGTGCTTTATCACATGGAAAGCCCCTCTAAATGCCAAAATTTTGTTTACGTCGCTAATTCAGTTGAAGTTCTTGGTGAATTTTAAGAAATAAATGTAGTTTGGTTTGCTGAATTTGATGATGTTGCTTATTTGAGTGTTTACTTTCATCCTTGTGCTTTATCACTTGGAAAGCCCCTCTAAATGCCAAATTTTTGTTTACGTTGCTAATTTGATTGAAGTTCTTGATGAATTCAATGAAATACAAATAAATGTAGTATGTTTGGTATGTTGAATTTAACGAATTTGCTTATCAGAGTGTTTACTGTCATCCATGTGCTTTATCACCTGGAAAGTCCCTCTACATGTCCAAATTTTGCTTTTGTCGCTAATTCGGTTGAAGTTCTTGATGAATTCTATGAAATACAAATAAATGTAGTATGTCTGGTGTTAGATTTTATGCCCCTAATTAGGGAGGATTTTTTTGGAAAATATTCTTTCCTTTATTTACGTGATTTTATTGAAAAATATTGTTTTCTTATTTTCACGTGATTTTATTGGAAAAATATTATTTTCTTAATTCCACATTATTTTTTATGTTATTTCAATCTTTATGGTATGATATGTACATATAAATAGTGGACTCTTCTTTTAGTTTAGTTCAAGCAAAAATTGATGTGTTGTAATTTTCTCTCCATATTGTTATAATAAAACATCGGTTTTTTTTGCTTAATTCTCTTTGATTTCTTTACTTTAAATCTTGTTCAAATTTGTGATCTTGCTACATATTTCATACAACATCATTAATCTCAATCATTGCGTCACCTTTGGGATTATCGTGATTTGATTGGAATTTTTTAGAGATGGCTACATTGAAATATGATATTCCGTTGTTAGATTACAGTATAAAGTTTTCTTTCTGACAAATAAAGATGAGGGCTATTCTGGCGTATTTGGATTTAGACGATTCGTTGTTGGGTTTTGAGAAGATGTCAGCTAATTAAACAACGGAGGAGAAATAATGGAGGGATCGAAAGGCTTTATTGCAGATTTATCTTCATTTATCAAATGATATTTTGTAGGATGGCTTGAAGGAGAAAATAATGGCTACTTTGTGGTTAAAACTGGAGCAGTTATGCATGATGAAAAGTCTCACTAGCAAACTTGCTCTAAAGCAAAAGCTGTATTCTCACCGCATGATGGAAGAAAGGTCACTGGAAGACCACATTGTTGTGTTCAAGGAAATAGTTGCAGATTTAGAAACATTATAGGTTAAATATGATGAGGAGGGCTTGGCCTGGATCTTGTTGTGTCGGCTTCCCACCTCTTATTCGTCATTTCGGGACAACATTTTGTACAGTCGTGATACTTTGACCATTGAGGATGTCTGTGATGTTCTGTTCTCAAAGGAGAAGATGAAGCATTTGATTGAAGCTACATCGAGGAATGAGAAAATTCTGGTGTCTCATGGTGATGAACGGAGGGGTAGATCGATGACGAACTTCAGCAATTTGTATTGCTTTTACTATAGGAAAAAAGGACACGTTAAGAAAGATTGTGATAAGTTGTAGGCTAAAGGTAATTTAGCTGCAAAAATCATATGGGCAATCATGCAATTCAGACGAGACTAGTGTTATCGAGGATTTTTCGGATGGCGGTGATGTAATGTTAACCGTGATATCTGACGTGGAGTCTAAACCTGAAGAGGAATGGATTCTCGATTCGGCATGTTCGCATCATATGTGTTCCAATAGAAATTTCTTTCAGACATATGAGGCTGTCAAGTAAGGTGGAGTTGTGATGGGAAACAACTAGTCTTGCCGTGTTGATGGAATCGGTCGAGTAAGATTAAGGTTGCAGGATGGGACGGTCAGAACAATTGATCAAGTTTGACATATTCCAGACCTGAAAATGAATCTCATCTTGCTGAGTACCCTGGATGCAAAACGGTATAATTTCTCTGGTGGAGGTGGAGGTGGAGTCTTGAAGGTCAGAAAGGGTGTCCAGGTTGTACTGGAAGGACGAAAAAAGTCTCAGTTGTACATCTTGCAGAGAAGCGTAGAACCAGTTAAGAGACATCTAGATAAGTTCAGTACCGTGGTGAATATTCAGTTTGGTACAGCACCTCTTATGACGGGCTCTGAGTCTGTTAAGAACATTGCTCGACGGAACATTTGTGATTTCGCTTTGCCACCAATTTCAGCGATTGCATTGTGCTCAGTTGCTAGTGTTGGACTCATGGAGCGTAGGTACAGTGGTGTCAGTGATATCTATAATACTTTCGGGATTGTTCAAGATGACAGTTCTAGCAAGGGACCTTTTAATTAGGCATTTGATATGGTTTCTGCTACAAGATTTGCTTCGACCCTGTTTGGTGAACAGTAAGTCCTTGGTGGAATTTTGGGAACCTGGGAGTAAGGTTCGGGTGTCGTTTGTGGACGCTGAACAGAGGACGACTTTTTTTGTGATGGAGAGTTTTGGTTACTGTTTTGAAGAGTTCAGTTATTTCGATACAGTAGGACATATTTTTTCAGGTCGAGAAATTTTGGAGCTTCATTCGTTGCACCAAAATTTAGGTGAAGATGGAGATTTTTATATTTGTGCTCCAAATTTGGGAGGATTTTTTGAGAAAATATTCTTTCCTTATTATCACATAATTTTATTGAAAAAGTATTATTTTTCTTAATTCCACATTATTTTTTATATTATTTCCATGTTTATGGTATGATATGTATCTAAAATAGTAGTATCTTCTTTCAGTTTAGTTCAAACAAAAATTGTTATGTTGTAATTTTCTCTTCATATTGTTATAATAAAACATTGTTTCCTCTGCTTAACCCTCTTTGATTTCTTTACTTTAAATCTTGTTTTTATTGTTGTGATTTTCATTACTTGATATTGCTCCATTAAATATCAGTTCTTACAACCCTTTGGGATCAACATTTGGTATGTTGAATTTGATGAATTTTCTTATTAGAGTGTTTACTTTCATCCTTGTGCTTTATCACCTGGAAAGTCCCTCCAAGTGCCAATTTTTTTTTAATTTTTTTTTCAATATTGAAGTTGAAGTTTATGATGAATTGAACGAGAACAAATGTAAATTGATGGGTTGGATTGGATTGGACATAACAAACAATTTATGTGTGTCTCTTTTTTAATCTTATTTCATTTGCACATAAGAATTGCGACGAATGCCATAAGATATTCATATTTATATGTAATGATTGATTTTACAGGTATAAATCCTTTTAGAGTGCATTTAATTGCTAATGTTTTCCATCAAAAATGTTATTTTTCCTTTCAAATGCTTACTTTTGTACTGTTTGATTGATATTTTTCTATGAAAATTTCATACTTTTGGTCGCATGATCGTATTTCCCTTGAAAATAAGGAAAATATTTATTTTTTTAAGGGGGAAAAGATTTTTATTTTCTAGGTTATTCATTCTCTTTTTCTCTCATCTCCTCCCCCTCTCTCCTATCTACCTACCAATAAAAATTGAACAAGTATAACATTTTCTAGCATGAAAATAAAATCAATGAAACACATTTAATTGATAATTTTCATTCAAATAATTTCTAGACAGTTCAATTGTTTAGAATATATTTTTTCCTATATAAACACTATGCTTACAATCAAGCGCATCCTTAGTTTTAAAAGTGATATAGAAAAGTGAAAATTACAGATTCTAATAGATTAAAAATCCTCATTTCATAAATAAGATGCAATGTTTAGTATTTAACAAATCAGAAATTTTTTTAATTAATTTATATATTTAAAAATTAATTAAACAATTTCAAACCCTAATTGTATAAATCTCAATTCCATCTCTTTCTCTCTCTCTCAATTCCCTCGACTCTCTCTCCCTCTCTACCATTAATTTCTCCCCAATCCTGTCGAAAGACAATAAGGTGCCATCGGAGGACTCCTCGAGAGACACCGCGATGCCCCCTTGGTGCGTGGTGCGTCGATCTGTGGTGCTTGGTCTGCAGTGGTGGTGATGGTGTGATGTGGTGGTGGTGGGTTGTGTGGTGGGGTTGTGATTTCTGGTGGTCGATGGCGGAGGTTTGGTGTAATTTTTGGTGGTTGATTGTCGTAGTGGTGTACTGTGCAGTGCAGGTGGTGATTTTGCAGTTACTGTGGCGTGTTGTACTGTGCATTGGATCTGGTGGTAGTGGTGATGGCGGCGGCTCTGTTGTGGTGTTGGTGGCTCTATTCAGTGGCGAAGGCTCTACTCTATCTCCTTCATTCTTCATTTATCAACGGTGATAGAGCGTCAATCTATGGTCGCAATAAATTTATGATTCAATTTTGATACAATGTTACCGTAATGTGACCAATAGACGTTGATTCGTTGGTTGTTTGCAGTTGTGGTGGTGGCTATAGTAGTGTTGGTGTTTGCAGTGCTCTAAGGTGGCGATGATGTTGGTGGTGTTGGTTGTTTTTTGGTAGAGGTGAAGGAAATGGTTGATTTAAGGTGGTTGTGTTGGTGATCGTTGAAATAGGTAGTGGTTGTGGTGGTGACGATGTGATAATTATTTAGATGTTGTGACCTATATGACCGAAAATAATTTGTTATAACCAATAAATAGGTTAATTTGTGATCAACGTGGTGGTGGTTTTGGCGGTGACGGTGATGGTGCTATTGGAGACAGCGTTGAAGTGGTGGTCGTAAGTGTTGGTGATGGTCACAAATTATTTGGTTGATTGTGACAGTGAATTTGTTAATCTGTGACCAATGAAAAAGATAAATTATGACCAAAAAATAATGTGTGACCTAAAAAATTAAAAATTTGTGACTGTCTAATAACTTGTGACCTATAATATTTATGATTTGTGACCTACAAATTTTTTTATTCATGACTAAAAAATAATATGTGACCTATCAAATTTTTTATTTGTGACATAAAAATAAGTTGTGACCAATAATTTGATAAGTTGTGACTAAAAATTAATTCGTGACTAATTAATTTTTTATTTGTGACCAATGAAAAAACTGTGACCTACAAAAAATTTTAAATTGTGATCGTAAAATAATTTGTGACATAAAATTTCTGATTTGTGATAAAAAAAAAATAATAAGTGACTAATTAAATTGTTAGTTCGTGATCAAATTGTATAAATATGTGACCTAAATATAATTAATTAATTAATTAATTAAATCATAGATAAATTTTAATAAAAATCTGATTTTTGAAGTTTAAAACTTGTTTTCTTAATTTTGAAATATGCTATATTTAATCTCTTACTTATGAAATTTTTCCATTAGAGAATCAAAGGAGAATTGGGTTTTGAAGATCTCCCAATCCATTAAGGCCCAATGCCAAATGGCCCAACTCAATTAAGTAATTTATGCAAATAGCACTAGGGAAGAAGATGCCGTCACGGTTTTAGCACTTTCTTGTCCACATATTCATTGATAGTTTTGAATTTTAACCCAAGTTACTGCAAACCAAATTTTCTTTTGGTAAATTGTGTTTGTAAGTACCTCCTCTCGAATTTGAACTTTTATTTTGTCCAAAAATTTAAGCATCTCCTTCTATACATTACACTCTTTCTTATCTTTCTCCTACAAGCCAATAGTGCAATCTAACTCTACTTTACTACAATATATTATTTTGAAAAATTACAAACAATCAAACCAGCTACCTTTAGAAAGTCGATCCGTTACCATGATTGATAGGATGATCAAGCAATGATAAAAAGCCACGTGTTCTGCTTCTCCTAAGTTAGAGAGGAACCGAGACCACCCTATCTTGTTGGTTCTTTTTCCTCGCTGAAGCCCTTAAGTCAGTCAATAATGGCTTCCTCGGTTAAATAGTTGATCACACATTTAATGATAGGGAGTAAAGCTTTTTGTTATAATTTAGAACGTGTATTCAAACCATTGAGTTAACCATACAAGGAATGATATTGAAAATTATATTTCGATTTCTAAACGACACAAAGTTATGAAAACCAACTTAAAGCGCCATTTCGATCTCATCAAATCATCTTCGTACGCCAACAAACTTTGCAAGTTCATATATACTCTTCTTGAATACACTCTCAATTACTATGTAATACACCAATTAACATCTCAATTCTTAAAAAAAGTTCATTTATAATCATATCTTCAACAACAATCTTTATTGATATCTATATATTTGCATCAATAGGGGAAAATTTTGTGCCTTGCAAATTGCAATCATTGGTGAAGTTCTTGGTCAAGAAAATCTGCTATGATTGCTGTTAGTTATGAGTTACTTCAAGTATCAAATGGAGATATGCCTATTTAATGTAGATCTTGTCAACTAAATAATATGCCACCATGTTAGACTGGACCAAAAATATATTGATGGCAACTCTCCTTAATTTTTTTATTTTTTTTATTGAAATAATCTGCCACTATGCCAGATAGATCGATATCTAAATCGATTTTTAAATTTTCGTCCAAAATTATTGGCTTTTTAACAAACAAAATTATGTAATTGACTCCGCTGCGATCATACATTAATATTTTTATAAATATTTTTTCATCTTAATCGTGCTTTGCATTGACTATCAACTTATTACTACTTTCATCATTTATCGAAATTCATGATCGAGTCGTTCCTTTGAACAAAAAAAATCAAAAGTGAATAATATTCTTTGGTGGCTTATTTATTAACCAAATCACAAATGCTTTTTTGACACTCTTGCTAGTCGCATAAACTTGGTCCATTCTTTTCCAATGGGCCATGCTTCCATAATGTATTTATTACTGTATTGGCTTTTGACACATTTGGGGAGACTATTGTCAACATAGACACACATTCAAATAAATAGTCCATTTTTAGTTGGAATATTAGTTTTGGAGCTTCTTATAACGATTAGTAATTAAGCTAGAGTAACTGTATAAGTCTGTGACCTATCAGAGCCACCGTCTAGAAAATGAAACTTTTAAGCAAAAAAGAAAATGTCCGTCGACTGTAGTATTTCGAATCATGTTACGTTGTGCTAATGAGTTGATCGACTAATTTTAAGATTTTTTTTTTCCTTAGCTTCTTTCAATTTGCCTACTATAATCGCAGTGTTGCACTACGACTACATATTTTAGGGACCCCCTCAATCAATCGACACGAGTTTGCACGAGATGCTCTTGGAGCCTTCGTTGTCGAATTGTTGACCAATCATTTGAGTAGGGCAAGACTTGCACAAAATGCTTAAAAGAAAATATATTTAGCCGAACCCCACGCCACCCACCAATTCCAATTAATTTCTTTCCTCTCGCATGCTAGAAATTGAAATAATTCTCTGGATTGCACCCAAGATTCCATTCTAATGTTGGTCCCAAATCCAAAAATGCTTATGAAGATTTTTTTTCTAAGTTAATGCTCTTCCCTTTTGCACTCTAAAGCGAAAAAGAAGAAAGAAAAAGTTGTCTTATGCTTTAATGTACTAATGCTTGGGCTTTTTGGAGGAAGAGAAGGATCTAATGGCATCATGGGTAGGCAAGCATGATTCGTCTTCGTCCCTTTGTAAAAAAGATGGTTGATATGATTTCCCAAAGTCAAAAATGTACTAAGCATGAATGGTGATTGTACCTTTAAGAGATGCCTCACGTACTGATTTGACAATATTGAATATGATTGAGGAACAAAAAGAAGTTAAAATTCTATACGTATGTGTTTCAAGGGTAAATTCCATATCGAATTACAATGAAATGAATATACAACAAATAAAGATTTGGACTACTCTTCATAATAATATCGATCTTTTAAGATGAAATGACAAATTTCAATATGGTATCAGAGTCAATATTGTTATAACGAGTCATTCAATCCTTCTTGAAGCTCAAATGTGTCATTTGATTCTAAGATTGGTTTGCTCATACAATGAACTATCTTGCAAGAACATGTTACGAATAATTCTCATATAGAAAAACAAAAAGGAATTTCAAATTTTAATACACGTGCCGTTATTGAATTCCATATCTAGTGTTTGACTCTCTCAATATCATTTTTTCCTTTGAAGAAAGTGGGTACATAGTAATCCCAAATATGATTGTGCAACGTATCTTTTCCAAGCACCTAAAAAAGAGTTTAAGATTAAGAGGTACATTTCTAGTCATATGGAAGAATAGTGGACATTCTTTTCATTAAGCAGTTGCTAGAGATTATCCTAATTAAAATGCAGTTTTGGTGAGAGAGGGGGGTTTCATGATTCGAAGTTATCGCATCGCTTTGGCCAGAATTCCAAATTATTATGAATTTGAGACGTGATACATAACACAATTAGAATCGCTACAATTATTGTAATAACCATATCGGATAGAGCTCGGTTTTAAAACTATGTAACCAGTGGGCATTCGAGTAGTTGTAAACTCAAAGTTAGATAAGTTGTGTGGTTACAATTCACCATATATTTCGCAACAAATGTTCTCCGCTAAATATTTAAAACTCATAATGATTCCCATTTCCCAAGTCGTCTGTCCGTAACAATTACTTGTAAATTTCCGGCATGCGTTTTTAGCAATGTAAAATGCAATCAGAATGGTTAGTTGTGACATGTGGTTTTTCATACTTCTCTAACCATATAAACATTTAGATGAAACGATTTAATTAACAGGAGAACTACTTATCACAATGTGCAATTTTGAGTCTCTCTTGTTTCCAATGCAATTTCTCCATAACTGGACCTTTTTCTCTGAGATACTGATTTTCACTTATAATCTACTGTATGTTTGGCAGAATCTCAATCTTAAGAATAAGTTAAAAAATCAGCTTCCAGCCTCAGAAATGCTCTGTAATGCAGGTTGCCAAATTCTGGATTTTGCAGCAGCACCAGAATTTGTTACTGTGTTATTTCTTGACCTATGCCTCTCATGTTTCACCTGAAATTTTGTCAAAACTTAGTGCATATAAATTAATTACAGAACAAAACGAGAAAAAAGAAGATAGAGTTTTGAAATTTTGAATCAAGTAAATCAATAATAACAACAAACTAAACACGGATCTTTGAAATATATATACTCGAAATATTTTCAGAACTGAAAAAAATTATAAAAATGTTTACCTGATTGATTTTCTCCATATCAGTTATCTTAATTGCTGTCCCAAAATCTGAACTCTCTCCGTCTTCTAATTCTGGCTGTTGCTTCTTCATTTTTGCATGCTTTTTAGCCCACAATCCTTTCATCACCTCTATAAATAAAACCCACAAATATACTTAATAATCCCATAAAAAATTCAATTTTCTTTAATAATTAAGACAAAAAAAAAAGGAAAAAAAAGAAAAAAAGAACCAACCTTGGGCAGTGACAAGTCTATAAACATGTCCAAGAACAAGGTTGTCTGCTGACCTAAGAAGTTTTATGCGCGTAATTCGAACCGGGATGTTGTTATTTTCTACTAAACTTCTGTTCTTGGTGGCGGCGGCGGCGGAGGCGGAGGAGGAAGAGTATAAAGTGGTGGTGAGGAGAAGAGCAACATAATGACCAGGGTTCATTTTCATGATTTCTTTAGCAGAAACTTGGCAATAGAGTTTGTCTACTCTTCCATTTGGGTGTTGAATTACTAGAGAAGCATTATCAATGGCCTGGCAATTTCCCATCTCTCTCTAGATTTTCTGAGGAAAAATGGGGAGGGGAGTATTGGTCTTATGGCAGTTTTACTTTCATATAGCCACACCTTAAGCCTTTATTCCAGGGCATATGAGAAAAAGATTATCGGATAACATAATTATTCTTACGTCACAACTGCATAGATATATAATTATATTTTTTTTCAAAAAGTTGGCTTAGTAATAATTAGAATAGATAAAACTCGCCGTTAAGATCGACCCGTAAATTAAATTTTGGCGTTTTTGTTTATTGAAGTGAGATATCATTATATACGTTCGTGACAGTTCATATTTTCGATCAAGTGACTTCATATAATCAATTTTCAATTAAAATTATCCTCTTTAGATCGTCCCATCTCCAACAAGAGTCATCCTTAGAAGGAGGATGCCCTATTATTATATAATACAAAACTATGCCTTAAATTAGCATCGTGGGACAAAATTAAGTTGTGACATTCCACTTGTTTCAGAATTGACATCTAACGCCATTCCATTTTTCACTAAGATGACTTCACAGGACGAGTTTTCTATTAAAGGTAACACTCCTCAGCTCGCCTTCTCCGCAACGTGGGTCCTTTCTGGAAGGGGAGAGTACCCAATTGATTATAAACCCACAAACTAGATTGGAACATAATTAGGGTCGCACATTCCAGCTTTTCAGAATCAATCCGCAACATGGGTCATGCTTATAAGCAAGGGACATGCTGCTTGTATAGAACCAAAAAACTCACAGAAAAGCCACATATCACTCACGCTAGAGGGATCTGGGTGATTTTTTGCCAATTTTTTTATAGCACAGGGCTCACGCACGTGACTGTTTGGCAAACTTGTGTGAAACGAATAATTCTGTACGAATGACTTTCCAAGGACATCTACTCTAATATTAATTGTAAAATCACATTAAACCCATGTTTGGTGTTGATTAAATTCAAATTTTCAATAGATTTTGATAATAGTTAATTATATTTGTGATTAAAAAGTTGTGCGTTCAGTAAAATATTTGTTTAAAATTAATTATTAATTCTAGTTTAAAATTAATTATTAATTCTAACTTAAAATCTTCAACTTTTAATTTACGTAGAGGCTAAATAGGATCATCCTTAACATTGGCCATAAGGAGAAAATGTCCAATTTATTATAAACCTACAAATTACAAACTTTCACTCAATCTTGTATCCAAATTGATCCATTTTTTCTTGGGTTGTGCTATATGTACCCAGGCGTTGACATGTCCGGTTACACACCCCTCGCAGCAGGGAGCCTGCCCATTCTTTTTATTCGGCGCGGTCCCCTTCTTGTGAAGGGCGTGTAATCGGGCTTGTCAGAGCCCGAGTACAAATAGCAAAATTCATTTATCTTTTACAGTGTGATGGGTTGATAATTTTGAGAACAGAGGGGGACAGAGAATGTTGGGCAGACCTGAAATTCAACTTGTGATCACAAAATAATTACTTTCCCAAAAAACAAGCAATAGCCCTTGTGAAGTGTGAATTAAAAGATGATTAATCATCAATTAATTTTAATCACATATTTTATTAATCCACAACTTTTCAATTACACAATTCATTAATTTTTAATAAAATTTATTAAATATCAAATTCTAATCCACGCTAAACATGGGCATAATTTTCTTTGAGATTATAATAATATTCGTGATGACACGTTACATACACAAGCGGTTGAAAAATACGAGTTTAGGGTATGTCAAATAAAGAATGTGGGTTCGATTCTCATCGTTCACCAATAACTAAAAATAATATCATCATCCTATTTTATTTTTGTTCTGTAAAGAAGAAGAAAGAAATTTGGCCAAAATGAATTTCTAGACTCACGAATGTCACTGATTCAAGTTCAAAATTGCCCATCTATGCCAGGAAGCTATGCAAGAACTACTCTGTTGATGTCTAGAATTGACTAGTTCACTTATAAACCAATCAATTCACCTTATTTTTCTAATACTTTCATACGTCGATTCCATCTTTAAATAATTTAAGCCCTACTTGATGTTTTGATCTTTGATTACCTAACTTTATCAACCCTATATTTTGACAAATTTTCAAAACACGGACTCGCATATTTAATTTTTGAATGATATTAGTTAAATATAATTTCGAGCAAATAAATATCTCATATTTAAATTTTACCACCATTCTAATAACATTATAACAATCCATAGAGATTGTGTATGGTGCACGCGTTTGGCCATGAGAGGGGGCTTGCAATCATAAGGGAGTGAGAGAGACATCTCTCATTGCTCACCAAACCACGGCCGTGAAATTTCGTGGGAAGATAACAGTAAACATCAACAGTCCCACCCCCTACGCCGTGCGCCTGACCTAAAAAGTTTGGTTGGAAGTGCTTAAATTAAAATTTGAGGAATGCTACAGAAATAGGTTGAAAAACAGGCTTAGAAATATGCTGTACACGTGTCGGTCGATGTATAATTGGAGAGTTTGAAAATTATTAAAAAGACACCCAGTACTCTATTGCCACATCAGTTTGTATTTTACTTCTTGTTTATTAGCCCGTCTGTTTATCATTTCAATTATTCTAGTTGTACAAAATAAATTGACAAAAATAGTTGACAAAACAAGTGTTGGCAGAATCTTAACCTTTGATTTCAAATGATTTAAAGAAGTGTTTTTTAAATGATTGGTATAGATATTTTGTAAACCAATTTTGTACAAGTAACACGGCTCTTATCATTTTCCTTGAAATTTAAATTATGATGTCACAAAATATAAAATAAAAGTGAGTAATAAGGTGAGGGTTCACATAACTTGTGGATAAAAAAATGTATTTGATCAATTTAAATATAGGGGGTGTTTGAGCCACATTATTTTGGTAATAATGTATTCTTGAATAGTGTATTGATGGAAAATGTGTGATTAAAAAATAAGGAAAAGTTTTTTATCTGCGTGTAATATTATTTTATTGAATAATGTGTGGTTGAAATGATGTCAAATCACTGTTTAAGAATGTATTTTTTTAAAATAATGTAGCTCAAATAGACCCATAATTTAAACTTACCAACTTGGTTTCCCGCTAAAGTTTTACTATTATTTACTTAAGTGAATTTTCTACTATTGGTTCTATCTCGATTTGGACTTCTGTCATTGCTTTATTGGGGAACAATAATGTCACTCATATGATGATCGTCGAATGTCATAAAAGATTTAATATATCGTCGCTATATACCAATTAATTTTCAGATGGGATAGTTAAATATCGATTCTACTACCTTTTTTCGAGTCAATATCTGAACTGTCGCTCGCTCGTCGCCCACATTCACTCACAAAGATGGTGGTAGACATCCACACAAGCACAAGAAGTGGTTGTGGCCACGGTTTGCATAAGCTAATCGCTACAGGATATGAGCAGTTGTGTTTTGTCCTATTTTCTGCTTTTTCAGACATTCCAGCAATTTTTTGGATTACAATTCAATTTTTCACCAAACATACCTATGTTATTTCTCTGATTTCACTCTCATTTGGTTTCCCATTATGGACCAAAAACATACCACCATCAATTTTATATTTCACTTCCTAGTTTACAAAAAACACACATTAGTGTTAAATTAAATCATTAATTATGTATCGTTGTTCTTTATGAACATCTTCAGCGAACCTTCTAAATACAAGACGTGCAATTTTTACATTTAATAAGTTACAGATTCCAATACTCTATTTTTAATACACAAATCGTGAACCTAGAGAGCTCAGCCCAGTTCTAATCATTAAAGTATTCCGGCTAATCCATGTGTTGCTAATATTAGCAATGTAAAATGGATCAGGTTAGGTTGGACAAAGATACAATCCGCATTCTTTGACAATTCAGGCCAACCACCTTTATATCGTTTTGGTTAATTTTCGTGAAAAACAAGGACCTTACATGAATTGTGGGCCTAGAAAGCCAAACCAATTACGATTCACCTCTCGAATCAAGACATGTCTCACTTTTATTGTTTTGGTGGAGCTTTTTTTTGTACTTTTTACCATGCAACAATTTGAATTTTTCCAATATTTGACACAAACCACATTGTTTGACATTCGTTTTTGGTTAGTTTTCATGAAAAACAAATCTCTGCACGAGTCATGGATATAGAGAGTCGAGCCCAGCACAATTCAACTTTCGAGTCAAGTTATTTCTATTCTTGAGGGGACTCACTAAAGGTAGAATGTTAGTGGTTGGAGGAAGGGGGGACGTTAAGTTATTACAAGTTTATGATTAGTTGTTGAGGCTTGGAAACAAACAAAAATGTACAGATCAGTGGCTTTTTTTCAAATCCAAAAAAGAGAACAAAAAAATCAACTTTCTGGCCAAAATACGCTGCGAATTTTCTGTGTCTTCAAATGAGACGAGTGACAATTCATAGTGGTCCACTTTTGGTCACAAAAATCTTCTAAACCCATTTTAAATTAGATCACATTAATGCCTTTGCAACTGAAAATCTTCCATTCTTCCACTGGTTTTCACTTTTAGATTGTGGTTCAGAGCTAAAGCCTAAAAGCAAAAGCCTTTTTTTTAAAAAATAAATAAATTTAAAACATCTTATTAATAATTCTAATTGCAAGAAAAATTAAAAAAACTTGATCAAGGATTTGTATAGCTTTTATTTACTCTTATTGAAAGAAAATAAGAAAGAACCAGCCATAAAGATTTTAACATAAGTTATCGAGTCTCTCTGCAATGAACGTGAAACGATATTGGACAGCACTAAAATGTTGTTAATTTTATTTTGTAAGTATGACTTTTATATATCTTTTTTAAAAGATTTCTCGCATTTTAAGTATTGAAAATTTTGAGAAGTGCATTTAGCAGATAACCTCTATCATATCTCGAGATGAAATGACAAGATACTGTTAGTGATTACTGGTGAGAAGAAAGAGTACATTAAGACAAGAATAGTAACTTCCACGACTTGGAGAAAAATTCAATCGTGTTCTAGTTATGCAGCATGTATTCAAATTAGGGGGTGTTCTCTTTGTGTTTCAGTTTTGTGTTTTGAGTTTTGAATTCATTTTGAGTTTTGTATTTTGAATGTTTGTT